ACAAGTGTGAGGAGTGTGGCAATCAGTTTAGGCAGCTAAGTAATTTGAAGTCCCACATGCGGACTCATACAGGTGAGAAACCTTACAAGTGTGAGGAGTGCAGCAAGCAGTTTAGTGAGCTGAGTAAACTGAAGAGCCACATGCGGACTCACACGGGGGAGAAACCCTACAAGTGTGCAAAATGCAGCAAGCAGTTCAGTCAGCTTGGTACTCTGAATAAACACATGCAGACTCACACAGCGGAGAAACCCTACAGGTGTGAGGAATGCAGCAAGCAGTTTGGTCGTCTGGATAGTCTGAAGGCTCACATGCGGACTCACACAGGGGAGAAACCCTACAGATGTGACGAGTGCAGCAGACAGTTCAGTCAGCTGGGTAGTCTGAAGAGACACATGCGGACTCACTTGTAAGAAACCCTACAGGTGTGACTGAGGAGAACAAAACCTCACAGTTTTGAGGATCGAGTTGTGAGCCTGGTCCTTTGAAATATCCAGTTTTCAAAGTCTGACCGGGAAGAAACTCCAACAGTGTGAGGAGTGCAGCAAACTGTTCAGTCATCTTGGTTATTGCGAACTCTCAAATGAATAATTTAGAATAACCCAAGTTGTAGACACACCAGTCACATAGAGAAGGTGGACCATGTGATACCATTACCATATATGAAAAACAAAAAATACTAGGATTGGGGACATCTGTTGTATAAAACACTATGATAATATGTTAACTCTCTTTAATGTGAAAGTGTGGAATCAAACTGTTCAACATAAATCCATGTAGTTAGCTCTTCTAGAACAATAGTATAGACGACTACAAACAGTGGCTTAAAAGGTGTATGTAAATTTTCCTTGAGTATCTTTTACACGATGTTTTGTTTCTTGGAAACATTAGACTCCATTACAGGTACATCTGGTTTGTAGCATTCCAATGCATAGCAGCAACAACTTTACTGATATAGGATATAGAATGCAAAATATATTGTATATCAAGCTAACTAACCTAAGTTCATTTGTTGAACATTCTTTTGTTATAGGGGTAGAGAGTTTTGTTTTTATAGAAGGATTACTATCCAATATTAGCATGTTAGATTTTAGTCGGTTAAGGTAGATATTTATAGAATCAGTTAATTAGTCCAGTATTTGTTATCTTGTTTCAATAGATGATAGAATTAGTGGATGCAGTTGTAAGTGCATGGAAAGAAGTTTGTTGCTGATATTCTACTGTATTACATTTTGTTGCAATAGAACTAACAGGTAGATATTATAGAGCCTGATAGTTACTCTTCAAGTACATGTATAATGTATATAAGGTAGGTGGCCTTTTGAGCTTTTGTTATGTGAACATGGGTTTGTTCAACGTTTTCGTTTGTCAGAGATAAATGTTCTTTTTGAATTTTAGATATGTGTTGTTTATAACACTGGTCTGGTTGCATATGTGAAGAATAAGTGCAAAATATTGAAACACCACGATCCATAAATTCATAATCTTTGAAATTTGAATATGTATATAACTACAGAACCGCTAAATGAGTTACTTCAAATTCAGGTTCGAGTCAAATAGAATAAAATCCCAGCGTACAAAGATTCGCCCCGTAGGCCCCAGCGCCGCCTAGCGGTAGCTGTGATATTGCAAAACATGCACAGGTTGGAAGGCCTACATCTCAATCAAGCTCCTGTCATTCAAAGTTGTTTCAAATTTTGATCATCTGAAATGGAGCATGGAGACATAATCTTCCTAGCTTTACTGTCTTCTTATGCTCCAGTCTTGTCGAAAGAAATCTCTTGACCAAGTTTCGCAAGCTGCCACGTGAATTCAAACTCCGCGGAGCAAAGTGTAACAAGAAACCGCCTCCGCTCTGCCTTATTATGAATCCCATCTCCGCGGAGCTCATTCCGCTAACCCCCGTGTCTCCGTCCACCAGACGTGTCGTGGTGTGGAGGAAAGTATCGAGTGTTTCTCGTCGTCTTTCTACGAGCCTTTTTCGGTTCAGATCGTCGGGATTTCATCCTACATACAACTCAGGTACGTACCAAGAGCTTGTCTACTCTACAGTCATCGAAGTGACAGGAAAATAACACGTACAAGTTTGTTTTACGCTCTCTGAGTCTCTCACTAGCTAGCCGCTAGCGACGCGTGTGCCGCTTGTGACAAGTTCTATACTGCTCGAAAAGCAACGGTTTCTTGTATGAAAAGACGTTTCTGTCAGAAACAACAGAGTTTATGTAGAGCAGCACACGTACGCAAACTTTCTTATTTGTTTTGTTGTGCCCTTGTAGGTGTAAAAATGGCGTAGATCGTTTCAAAATTTGTCTGAGAAAAAGTTGTTGACACCTCGGTGAAGGTCTAGAAGGGGTTATGCTGTCTCCTTAAATATTGGAAATCAAACACGACAACAAGAGTGCTTGCTTATTGTACAAAATATAATAAAAACGACTTTCTATAATCCACAGTTGATTTTGCAGACAAGTGGTAATTTTGGGGTTGAAATATGGAAGTTCTTTGAGATAGAATATTCTGTAAACCCCCAAATGTGCCTCGTAATGGCCTTCCGCCCAGACATCTGGTTTCTATCATGGAGCAGGGACCTGATCATGGAGGAAAGGTCTTGAGTCAGGGGAGGTTCATTAACTCTCGTGGCGTTGGGGGTGGGGGTAGAGGTGATAGTGATACATTAGCAATTTAGAAGGAAGCTTTGTCGACTGAGGGAATTTTGAACGATATGCATGCCTTCTGATTACGTTTTTGTTTTCCACAGGCCATAGTCCAGTAGTGCTGAAAGGAAAACAGTGAGGCTTCACCTGTGTTCTTCCAGACATCAGTACTCTGGTTTAGCAGCTCAAGACTTGACCGTGATATTTTGAAGGTTAGAACATATTGTTAACTTTTCTAAGAAATTCATGTTTGGTTGCATTTGAATGTATGTGGTTTCGCAGCACATCTCAAGAGGCTTTGGATGGATTGTCATGAAATTTGGTATAATGTTGTCCAACTGAAAAAATCATGTTTTAGCAATATGGCAGATTTCCAAGGAACTGCAGTAGAACTATCTCAGCAACCAACAACTTTCCAAGTAATCCTTGCTTTTCTCTATGCAAATTAAAAGGCTGTTCAATAATAATTCACTTTTAGTGCTTTCCTGATAAAATGCGGCTCATACAGAAATTAAATGTTATCTTCATCCTCCAGGACTACAGAGGTGAATTCAGCTTTTGTTACCATGGCAACAAACACCGGTCGCTCTGATGGCATCAAAAAAGGTTCGGATGGGAGATCTGCCACAAAAACGTACAGATGTGAGGAGTGCAGCAAGCAGTTCGGTTATCTGAGTCATCTGAAGACACACATGCGGACTCACACAGGTGAGAAGCCCTACAAGTGTGAGGAGTGCAGTAAGCAGTTCAGTAAGCTGGGTAATCTCAAGGCACACATGCGGACTCACACAGGGGAGAAACCCTACAGGTGTGAGGAGTGCAGCAGGCAGTTCAGTTATCGGGGTCATCTTAAGAGACACATGCAGACTCACACAGAGGAGAAACCCTACATGTGTGAGGAGTGCAGCAGGCAGTTCAGTGATCTGTGTAATTTAAAGATTCACATGCGGACTCACACAGGAGAGAGGCCCTACAAGTGTGAGGAGTGTGGCAGGCAGTTCAGTCGGCTGGGTGATCTGAAGAAACACATGCGGACTCATACAGGGGAGAAACCCTACAGGTGTGAGGAGTGCAGCAGGCAGTTCAGTCATCTCTGTAGTCTCAAGTTACACATGCGGACTCACACAGGGGAGAAACCTTACAGGTGTGAGGAATGCAGCAAGCAGTTCAGTCTGCTGGGTAGTCTTAAAACTCACATGCGGACTCACACAGGTGAGAAACCCTACAAGTGTGAGGAGTGCAGCAGGCAGTTCTGTCGGCTGGATGATCTGAAGACCCACATGCGGACTCACACAGGGGAGAAACCCTACAAGTGTGAGGAGTGCAGCAAGCAGTTCAGTCATTCGGGTCATCTGAAGAGACACATGTGGACACACCTGTGAGAAACCCTACAGGTGTGACTGAGGAGTACAAAACCTCAGTTTTGCGGATTGAGTTGTGAGACTGGTCCTCTGAAATATCCAGTTTAGAAAGTCTGACAGGGAAGAAACTCCAACAGTGTCAGGAGTTCAGCAAACTGTTCAGTAACCTCGGTCATACATTGCGACACATGCAAACTCAAGGTGGGAGATTTTGGAATAATTCAACTTGTGTGCAGACGTAGAGAAGGCTGATCATGTGAAAAAACAGACAGGAAAAAAGTTAAAGGAATACTCAGTTAGATTGAGGACATTTGGTGTTGTACAAGACTAAGATCAAGTTTTTATTTCAAACCTGTTAACTCTCTTTATTGAGATAGTGAGGAATCCAACTGGTAAAGGAACATCTATGTATTATGATATCTCTTCATGATGTACTACAAACGGTGACCTTAAAACTGTGTGTAAAGTTTGCTTTACTAAGACTAAGATCAAGTTTTTATTTCCAACCTGTTAACTCTCTTTATTGAGAGAGTGAGGAATCAAACTGGTAAAGGAACATCTACAATGTAGGTATTAGCTCTTCATGATGTACTACAAACAGTGACTTTAAAAATTTGTGTAAACTTTGCTTTAGTGTCTTTCATAGAATGTTTTGTTCCTTTCATACATAGGACTGCATGTGGTACATCTGGTTGGTAGCATTCCATAGCATAGCATAACTTAGCTGATACAGGGATTGTGAAATACATGTACTGTATATAGAGCTAAATAACCCAAGTTTATTTTTGTTAAGTTCTTTTGTTACAGAGGTAGAGAGTTTTGTTTTTATAGAAGGATTACCATCCAATATTAGCATGTTAAATTTTATTCTGTTAACCTAGATATTTATAGAATCAGTTTATTTAGTCCAGTATTTGATCTCTTGTTTCTGACTAATGGTTGCGATAGATTATAGAATTGGTTCATGTAGTTGTAAGTGTATAGGAAAAGGTTTGTTGCTGATATTCTACTGTATTACATTTTGTAGCAATAGAACTAACAGGTAGTTCTTATAGGGACTAATATGTACTCTTCAAGTACATGTATAATGTATATAAGGTAGGTAGCCTTTTGATCTTTTGTTATGTGAACATGGGTTTGTTCAACGTTTTCATTTGTTGAAAATAAATGTTCTTTTTTTAAGTTTTGAATATGCGTTTGTTTCTAACTCTGATCTGATTACAGATGTGAAGAATAGATGCAAAACATTGAAACACCGTGATTCATGAATTCACAATCTTTGTTGAAATTTGAATATATATAAACGACAGAACCGCCAAATTAGTAACTTGAGATTCAGGTTCTAGTCAAATAGAATAAAAGCCCAGAAAAAAAATCGCCCTGTTGGCCCGAGCGCCGCCTAGCAGTAGCTGTAATAATTGCCCCTATATCGCAAGGCTTGCACAGAGTTGAAGGTTGACATTCCTTGGACTTATCAAGTAGTATATTGGGTTATACGGCCCCCTAAGAAAAATTTCTTAGGAGGGGGGGGGAGTATGGCAGCCCCGGCATACAAATAGGATGGTACCCAGGCTACTTATCAAGCTCCTGTCATTCAAAGTTGTTTCAAATTTTGATAATCTTTAATGGAGCATGGAGACAAAATCTTCCTAGCTTTACAGTCTTCTTATGCTCCAGTCTTGTCTCCGAGAGAAATCTGTTGACCAAGTTTCGCAAGCTGCCACATAAATTCAAACTCCGCGGAGCAAAGTGTAACGAGAAACCGTCTCCGCGGAGCTCATTCCGCTAACCCCCGTGTCTCCGTCCACCAGACGTGACGTGGTGTGGAAGGAAGTACCGAGGGTTTCTCGTCGTCTTTGTACGAGCCTTTTTCGGTTCAGATCGTCGGAATTTCGTCCTACATACAACTCAGGTACGTACCAAGAGCTTGTCTACTCTACAGTTATCGATGTGATGAGAGAATAACACGTAAAAGTTTGTTTTACGCTCTGTGAGTCTGTAACTAGCTAGCCGCTAGCGACGTGTGTGCCGCTTGTGAGAAGTTCTATACTGATCGAAAAGCAACGATTTCTTGTATGAAAACAAGTTTCTGTCAGCAGCAACCTAACAGTGTATTTAGAGCAGCACACGTACGCACATTTATGTTGTTGTCTACAGAGTGTTCTAGGTGTAACAATTCATGTGTGAGAAAATGTTGTTGACACCTCAGCGAAGGTCTAGAAGGGGTTATGTCGACTCCTTAAAAATTAGAAATAAAACACAACAACAGAAGTGCTTGCATATAGTACAAGTGACAAAAATGCCGGTCTTGGAATCCACATTCAATTTTGTAGACTAGAAGTAATTTTGGGGTAGAAATTTAGAAGCTTTTTTCGAGGTAAAATATTGTGTAAACCCCAAATGTACCTCGTAACGGTCTTCCCGCCCAGACATCTGGTTTCTGTCATGGAGGAAAGGTCTGGAGTAAGGGGAGGTTCACTAACTCTCGTACATGTGGCGTTATTGATTGAGGGGGAGTTGGGGTTGATACATTAACTATTTAGAAGGACGCTTTGTCGAAAGAGGGAATATTTAACGAAAATACAGGATCATACAGGCTTTTCTGATCACATGTTTTTGTCTTCCACAGGATTCCATAGTCCAGTAACGTTAGTGCAGAAAGGGAAACAGGATTCCATAGTCCAGTATAGTGCTGCCTGCCCTGCTGAAAGGAAAAACAGTGAGACTTCATCTGTGTTGTTCCAGAGATCAGTACTCTCAGGTGAAGCACTTAAGGACTTGACTGTGTAAAAGATATTTTGCAGGTAAGACAATATTATTAATATTATTATTAACTTTTCCAAGAAAGTTTTAAAATGTGTTTCTATGTTCATGTATGACAGTAGTTGTATGACAGTAGTTTAGCAGCATATCTCAAGGGGCATTGGATGGATTGTCATGAAATTTGGTATAATCATTGTCCCATTGAAAACAATGATTTTAAAAGCAGTTGGCAGATTCCCTAGGTATTCAAGATTCCCTAGGTATTTCAGTAGAACAGGTCAATTTAAATTTTGCATGTAAGGTCTAGGTTTAAACAAAGAAACAGAAACAGTAATCCTTGCTTTCTGGTATCCAAATTTTAAGGACTGTTTGGTAGTTTCTGCAGCTTTAGTGTTTGTATGGTCAGCATGATGACCAGAGAGTAGACAAAAACTTTTGGAATTACAATGTGAATGTTGTTCATCTTCACACTCCAGGACTGCAGAGGTGAGTTCAGCTTTTGTTACCATGGCAACAAACAGCGATGGCGCTGATGGAATCAAAGGAGGATCGGATGGGAGATCTGCCACAAAAATGTACAGATGTGAGGAGTGCAGCAAGCAGTTCATTCGGCTGGGTCATCTGGAGAATCACATGCGGACTCACACAGGGGAGAAACCTTACAAGTGTGACGAGTGCAGCAGACAGTTCAGTGAGCTGGCCAATGTGAAGAGACACATGCGGACTCACACAGGTGAGAAACCCTACAAGTGTGAGGAGTGCAGCAGGCAGTTTAGAGAGATCGGTCATCTCAGGACTCACATGCGGACTCACACAGGTGAGAAATCTACAGGTGTGAGGAGTGCAGCAGGCAGTTCAGTGTCTTGTGTAGTCTTAAGAAACACATGCGGACTCACACAGGAGAGAAACCCTACAAGTGTGAGGAGTGCAGCAGGCAGTTTGGTCGGCTGGATAGTCTGAAGGCTCACATGCGGACTCACATAGGAGAGAAACCCTACATGTGTGGGGATTGCAGCAGGCAGTTCAGTCAGCTGGGTAGTCTGAAGAGACACATGCAGACTCACCTGTGAGAAACCCAACAAGTGTGACTAAGGAGTACAAAACCTCACAGTTTTGAGGATTGAGTTGTGAGCCTGGTCCTATGAAATACCCAGCTTGCATAGTCTGGCAGGGAAGAAACTCTAACAGTGTTAGGAGTTCAGCAAACTGTTCAGTCACCTGGGTCATTGCAATAGACACATGCAAACTCAAGGTGGGAGGTTTTGGAATAACTCAACTTGTGTGCAGACCTAGAGAAGGCTGATCATGTGAAAAACCATACAGGAAAAAGTCAAAAGAATACTCAGTCAGATTGAGGACATTTGATGTTGTTCAAGACTAAGATCAAGGATTATTTCCAACCTGTTAACTCTCTTTATTGAGAGAGTGAGAAATCCAACTGGCAAAGGAACATCTATGTGTTAGCTCTTCATGATGTACTACAAACAGTGACTTTAAAACTGTGTGTAAAGTTTGGTTTAGTGTCTTTCATAGAATGTTTTGTTCCTTTGAAATGTTGGACTTCATGTGGTACATTTGGTTTGTAGTATTCCATAGCATAGCATAACAATATTACTGATACAGGGGATGCAAAATACTGTATATCAAACTAACTAACCTCAGTTAATTTGTTTTCAGTTTTTTTTATATAGCGGAAGAGATATTTGTTTTTATAGGATTACCATCCACTATTAGTATGTTGTTGTTTATACTGTTAACCTAGATATTTAGGGTCAGATTATTTAATATAGTATTTGTTTTCTTGGTTTTATAGATGGATTACCATCCAATATTAGCATGTTATTGTCTATTCTGTTAACCTAGATATTTATAGAATCACTTTATTTAGTCCAGAATTTTTTTTCTTGTTTCTGACTAATGGTTACCATAGATGACAGAATCAGTGGATGCAGTTATAATGGCATAGAGATTGTAGGTTTTTTGCTGATATTCTACTGTATTACATTACTAGTATGTAGCAATAGAGCTAACAGACACATGTAATAGCCTCTATATAGGGCCTAATATTTACTCTTATTAAAGTGCATATCTAATGCATTATGTTGTGTGTATAACATGCGTTTGTTGCAAATAAATGTTCTTTTTGAATTTTAGATATTCGTTTGTTTATAACTCTGGTCCGGTTGCAGATGTGAAGAATATGTGCAAAATATTGAAACACTGTGATTTATGATTTCATAATCTTTGTTGAAATTTGAATATATATAAACTACAAAACCATTAAATGAGTAACTTAAGATTCAGGGTCTAGTCAAATAGAATAAAAAGCACAGAAAAAAATATTCGCCCCGTTGGCCCGAGCGCCGCCTAGCGGTAGCTGTAATAATTGCCCCTATATCGCAAGGCTTGCGCGGAGTTGAAGGCTGACACCCCTTGGACTTATCAAGCTCCTGTCATTCAAAGTTGTTTCAAATTTTGATAATCTGAAATGGAGCATGGAGACATAATCTTCCTAGCTTTACAGTCTTCTTTGGCTCCAGTCTTGTCGAAAGAAATCTGTTGTCCAAGTTTCCCAAGCTGCCACAAGAATTCGAACTCCGCGGAGCAAAGTGTAACAAGAAACCGCCTCCGCTCTGCCTCATTGTGAATCCCATCTCCGCGGAGCTCATTCCGCTAGCCCCCGTGTCTCCGTCCACCAGACGTGTCGTGGGGTGGAAGAAAGTATCGAGGGTTTCTCGTCGTCTTTCTACGAGCCTTTTTCGGTTCAGATCGTCGGAATATCATCCTAGATACAACTCAGGTACGTACGTACAGAGCTTGTCTACTCTACAGTTATCGAAATGACGGGAAAATAACACGTACAAGTTTGTTTTACGCTCTCTGAGTCTCTCACTAGCTAGCCGCTAGCGACGTGTGTGTCGCTTGTGAGAAGTTCTATAATACAGCTCGAAAAGCAACGGTTTCTTGTTGGTAAACAAGTTTCTGTCACAAACAACAGAGTTTATATAGAGCAGCACACACACGCAAACTTTCTTTTGTTTTGTTGTGCCCTTGTAGGTGCAAACAAAGCGTAATTTGGGGGTTGAAATTTGGGAGTTCTTTTGAGATAGAATATTCTGTAAACCCCCAAATGTGCCTCGTAACGGTCTTCCCGCCCAGACATCTGGTTTCTATCATGGAGGAAAGGTCTGGAGTCAGGGGAGGTCCATTAACTCTCGTACATGTTGCGGTATTGATTGAGGGGGAGTTAGGGGTGATACATTAACTATTTAGAAGAAAGATTTGTCGAAAAAGGGAATATTTGAAGGAAATGCAGGCTTTCTGAACACATGTTTTTGTTTTCCACAGGATTCCATAGTCCAGTAGTGCTGAAAGGGAAAGCAGGATTCCATAGTCCAGTAGTGCTGAAAGGGAAAACAGGATTCCATAGTCCAGTAGTGCTGAAAGGGAAAACAGGATTCCATAGTCCAGTAGTGCTGAAAGGGAAAACAGGATTCCATAGTCCAGTAGTGCTGAAAGGAAAACAGGATTCCATAGTCCAGTAGTGCTGAAAGGAAAACAGGATTCCATAGTCCAGTACTAGTGCTGAAAGGGAAAACAGTGAGGCTTCACCTGTGTTCTTCCAGACATCTGCAGTACTCTGGTGTAGCAGCTCAAAACTTGACTGTGTAAACTCGGATTTTAGTTACCATGGCAACAAACAGCTGTGGCTCTGATGGCATCAAAGGAGGATCGGATGGGAGATCTGCCACAAAAACGTACAAATGTGAGGAGTGCAGCAAGCAGTTCAGTAAGCTGGGTAAACTCAAGGCACACTTACGGACTCACACAGGGGAGAAACCCTACAGATGTGAGGAGTGCAGCAGGCAGTTCAGTCAGCTGTGTAATCTCAAGACACACATGCAGACTCACACAGGTGAGAAACCCTACAAGTGTGAGGAGTGCAGCAGGCAGTTCAGTCATCTGGGTAATCTCAAGACACACATGCGGACTCACACAGGGGAGAAACCCTACAGGTGTGAGGAGTGCAGCAGGCAGTTCAGAAAGCTGTGTAATCTCAAGACCCACATGCTGACTCACACAGGTGAGAAACCTTACAAGTGTGAGCAGTGCAGCAGGCAGTTCAGTCATCTCTATAGTCTCAAGACCCACATGCGGACTCACACAGGGGAGAAACCCTACAGATGTGAGGAATGCAGCAGGCAGTTCAGTGCCTTGGGTAGTCTAAAGACCCACATGCGGACTCACACAGGGGAGAAACCCTACAGGTGTGAGGAGTGCAGCAAGCAGTTCAGTCAGTCGGGTCATCTGAAGAGACACATGCGGACACACCTGTGAGAACCCTAGGGGTGACTGGGGCAGTACAAAACCTCACAGTTTTGTGGATTGAGTTGTGAGCCTGGTCCTATGAAATATCCAGTTAACTCTCTTTGATGTGAAAGTGAACAAATGTCTGACCACGCAGTCATCACTGCAGCCTGGTCCTATGAAATAGCCAGTTAACTCTCTTTGATGTGAAAGTGAGCAAATATCTGACCACGCAGTCATCACTGTAACCCAAAACATGTAAGTGGCTCTCACGAGCCTTGTTTTGAGATGAATCTGAAGTAAATAATAAAAAAAAAAACCTGGTAAATCAATAAAGGAAAAGCCATGTATTTAGCTCTTCATGATGTACTACAAACAGTGACTTTAAAACTTTGTGTAAAGTTTTTCTTTAGTGTCTTTCATAGAATGTTTTGTTCCTTTGAAATGTTGGACTTCATGTGGTTTGAAGCTTTCCATAGCATAGCATAGCAATATTACTGATACAGGGGAGATGAAATACTGTATATCAAGCTAACTAACCTAAGTTACTAGTAATTTGTTTTATTTTAATTTTTTTTTATATAGAGGAAGAGAGATTTGATTTTATAGGATTACCATCTACTACATGTATTAGTATGTTGTTGTTTATACTGTTAACCTAGATATTTAGGGTCAGATTATTTAATATAGTATTTGTTTTCTTGTTTTTATAGATGGCTTACCATCCCATTCAATATTGGCATGTTACTGTTTATTCTGTTAACCTACATATTTATAGAATCAGTTTATTCAGTATCGTATTTGTTTTCTTGTTTCTGACTAATGGTTGCGATAGATGATAGAATTAGTGCATGCAGTTATAAGTGCATAGAGATTGGAGTTTTTTGCTGATATTCTAACTGTATTACATTATGTAGCTAAAAAGACACATGTAATAGCCTCTATATAGGGCCTAATATTTACTCTTATTAAAGTACATATATAAAGCATTATGTTGTCTGTTTAACATGTGTTTGTTGCGAATAAATGTTCTTTATGAAGTTTAGATATGCGTTTGTTTATAACACCGGTCCAGTTGCAGATGTGAAGAATATGTGTTGAAAAACCCTGATCTATAAATTCATAATCTTTGTTGAAATTTGAATATATATATAAAGGACAGAACCGCAAAATGAGTAACTGGATATTCAGCAGGGTCTAGTCAAATAGATTGACAGCCCAGCGTAAAAGAGATTCGCTCCGATGGCCCAATCGCCGCCTAGCGGTATCTGTAAAAATTGCCCCTATATATCGCAAGGCTTGCACAGAGTTGAAGGTTGACAACCCTTGGACTTATCAAGCTCCTGTCATTCAAAGTTGTTTCAAATTTTGATAATCTGATGAAATGAAGCATGGAGACCCAATCTTCCTAGCTTTACAGTCTTCTTTGGCTCCAGTCTTGTCGAAAGAAATCTGTTGACCAAGTTTCGCCAGCTGCCACAAGAATTCCAACTCCGCGGAGCAAAGTGTAAAATGAAACCGCCTCATTATGAACCCCATTTCCGCGGAGCTCATTCCGCTAACCCCCGTGTCTCCGTCCACCAGACGTGTTGTGGGATCTTGTGGTGTGGAAGAAAGTATCGAGGGTTTCTCGTCGTCTTTCTACGAGCATTTTTCGGTTCAGATCGTCGGGATTTCATCCTACATACAACTCAGGTACGTACCAAGAGCTTGTCTACTCTACAGTTATCGATGTGACAGGAGAATAACACGTACAAGTTTGTTTCTCTTTCTAGCATACATCAATGACCTTCCTAAATACGCTGCACATGCTAAAGTCAGGCTCTTCGCCGACGATTGCATCTTGCAAATGAGTATCAAGGAAGAAGACGACTGTAAAAGACTGCAGCATGACATCGATAGTATTTGTAGTTGGGAGAAGGAGTGGTTGATGGCCTTCAACCCATCTAAATGTGAAGTGATGACCGTCCCCTCTTCTAGGAACCCAATAACGTTCCCCTATTCCCTCCATGACCACGTTTTAACCAAGGTAAGTACCACCAAATATCTCGGTGTTTCCATCTCCTCAAACTTGACCTGGGGCAGACATGTCGATCTAGTTACAGCAAAAGCAAACAGAACCTTAGGAATGCTGAGACGCTGCCTACGAATCTCAAGCAATGCGGCAAAGGAGAGAGCTTACATGGCTCTTGTAAGACCCTCCTTAGAGTACGGCTGTAGTGTCTGGGATCCCCACACCAAGGACCAGGTGAGTAGGGTGGAGATGGTCCAGCGTAGAGCTGCCCGTTTTGTCTGCAGTGACTACAGACGTACAAGTTCTGTTTCATCTATGTTGCAAAACCTGGGCTGGCAGTCTCTGGAAGTACGCCGGAAGATCGCCCGCCAGGTCATGCTTTATAAGATCATACATAACGCTGTCTCCGTCCCACACTCAACCAGGATTGTCCCGGTGGCTCGATGCTCCCGTCGCATCAATCACACTCAAACATTGCAGGCCATCGCGAGCAGAACCAACTTCTACAGGCTCTCGTTCTTCCCCCGCACCATCAGGGAATGGAATGAACTTGAGCCTGGTGCGGCGGAGGCGGGGTCTCTTGCCCAGTTCAAATCTGAACTGGCGAGGACCCTGCTGCATTGAGCCACCCCATCATGTCTTGTATATATGTAAATATTACTAACGCACTAATGCACTTGTCCCGTCTTTAGCACACACAAAATCAGTTGTCTTATGTTCCCTTCTCATTTATCCTTGTTTTACCTTGTTTTATGTACTGGATCACAATTGTAACTAATCAATGCGTAACGGCTGCCAATAATCCTACATGGTAGGGCTAGGCAGTAACGGAGATGATGGTTTTACGCTGTCTGAGTCTGTCACTAGCTAGCCGCTAGCGACGTGTGTGCCGCTTGTGAGAAGTTCTATGCTGATCGAAAAGTAATGGTTTCTTGTTTGTAAACAAGTTTCTGTCAGAAACAACAGTTTATATAGAGCAGCACACACACACATGCAAACTTTATTTGGTTTTGTTGTGCCCTTGTAGGTGCAGAAATGGCTTAGATCGTTTACAAATTTGTCTGAGAAAAAGTTGTTGACACCGTAGCGAAGGTCAAGAAGGGGTTATGCGGTCTCCTTAAATATTGGAAATCAAACAGGACTGTTTGTGCTTGCTTATTGTACTAATATAATATAAACCTATTTCTATACTCCATATGATAGTTGATTTTGCAAACAAAGTGTAATTTTTGGGTTGAAATTTGGAAGTTCTTTTGAAATAGAATATTCAGTAAACCCCTAAATGTGCCTCGAACGGTCTTCCCACCCAGACATCTGGTTTCTATCATGGAGGAAAGGTCTGGAGTTAGGGGAGGTTCATTAACTCTCATACAAGTTGCGTTATTGATTGAGTGGGAGTTAGGGGTGATACATTAACTATTTAGAAGTAAGGTTTGTCGACTGAGGGGATATTTGAAGGAAATGCTGGCTTCTGATTGCACCTTTTTGTTTTCCACAGGATTCCGTAGTCCAGTAGTGCTGAAAAAAGGGAAAACAGGATTCCAAAGTCCAGTAGTGCTGAAAGGGAAAACAGGATTCCATAGTCCAGTAGTGCTGAAAGGGAAAACAGGATTCCATAGTCCAGTAGTGCTGAAAGGAAAACAGGATTCCATAGTCCAGTAGTGCTGAAAGGGAAACAGGATTCCATAGTCCAGTAGTGCTGAAAGGGAAATAGGATTCCATAGTCCAGTAGTGCTGAAAGGGAAATAGGATTCCATGGTCCAGTAGTGCTGAAGGGGAAAACAGGATTCCATAGTCCAGTAGTGCTGAAAGGGAAAACAGGATTACCATAGTCCAGTAGTGTGCTGAAAGGGAAAACAGGATTCATAGTCCAGTAGTGCTGAAAGGGAAACAGGATTACATAGTCCAGTAGTGCTGAAAGGTAAAACAGGATTCCATAGTCCAGTAGTGCTGAAAGGAAAACAGGATTCCATAGTCCAGTAGTGCTGAAAGGAAAACAGGATTCCATAGTCCAGTAGTGCTGAAAGGGAAAACAGTGAGGCTTCGCCTGTATTCTTCCAGACATCAGTACTCTGGTGTAGCAGCTCAAGACCTGACTGTGTAAACTCGGATTTTTTGTTACCATGGCAACAAACAGCTGTGGCTCTGATTGCATCAAAATTGGATCGGATGGGAGATCTGCCACAAAAACGTACAGGTGTGAGGAGTGCAGCAAGCAGTTCAGTCAGCTGGGTCATCTGGAAAATCACATGCGGACTCATACAGGTGAGAAGCCGTACAGGTGTGAGGAGTGCAGCAGGCAGTTCAGTCAGCTGGGTAATCTCAAGGCACACATGCGGACTCACACAGGTGAGAAGCCCTACAGGTGTGAGGAGTGCAGCTGGCAGTTCTGTCAGCTGGCTCATCTGAAGTCTCACATGCGAACTCATACAGGGGAGAAACCCTACAAGTGTGAGGAATGCAGTAGACAGTTCAGTCAGCTGCGTGATCTAAAGACACACATGCGGACTCATACTGGGGAGAAACCCTACAGGTGTGATGAGTGTGGCAGGCAGTTCAGTCAGCTGGGTAGTCTTAAAACTCACATACAGACTCACACAGGTGAGAAACCCTACAGGTGTGAGGAGTGTAGCAGGCAGTTCAGTGATCTGGGTAATCTGAAGAGACACATGCGGACTCACACAGGTGAGAAACCTTACGGGTGTGAGGAGTGTGGCAGGCAGTTCAGTCAGCTGAGTAATCTGAAGACTCACATGCGGACTCACACGGGAGAAACCCTACAGGCGTGAGAAGTGCAGCAGGCAGTTCAGTCAGCAAGGTAGTCTGAAGAAACACATGCGGACTCACTTGTGAGAAACCCTAAAAGTGTGACTGAGGAGTACAAAACCTCAGTTTTGAGGATTGAGTTGTGAGCCTGGTCCTATGAAATACCCAGCTTGCAAAGTCTGACAGGGAAGAAACTCCAACAGTGTCAGGAGTTCAGTAGACTGTTCAGTCACCTGGATCCTTACAGGAGACACATGCAAACTCTTAAGTGGGAGATGTTGGAATAACTCAACTTGTGTGCAGACCTAGAGGCTGATCATGTGAAAAACCATACAGGAAAAAAGTCAAAAGAATACTCAGTCAGATTGAGGACATTTCGTGTTGTACAAGACTAAGATCAAGTTTTTATTTCCAACCTGTTAACTATTTTTATTGAGAGAGTGAGACATCCAATTGGCAAAGGAAAATATATGTATTATCTTCATGATGTACTACAAACAGTGACTTTAAAACTTTGTGTAAAGTTGCTTTAGTGTTTTTCATAGAATGTTTTGTTCCTTGGCAACATAGGACTGCATGTGGTACATCTGGTTTGTACTAAATTGTAGCATTCCATAGCATAGCATAACAATATTACTGATACAGTGGATGCAAAATACTGTATATCAACCTAACTAACCTAAGTTACTAGTAATTTGTTTTAATTGTTTTTTATATAGCGGAAGAGAGATTTGTTTTTATAGGATTACCATCCACTATTATTAGTATGTTGTTGTTTATACTGTTAACCTAGATATTTAGGGTCAGATTATTTAATATAGTATTTGTTTTCTTGTTTTTATAGATGGATTACCATCCCATCCAATATGAGCATGTTATTGTTTATTCTGTTAACCTAGATATTTATAGAATCAGTCTATTTAGTATCGTATTTCTTTTCTTTTTTTTCTGACTAATGGTTGCGATAAATGATAGAATTAGTTAATGAAGTTATAATTGCATAGAGATTCGAGTTTTTTTGCTAATATTCTACTGTATTACATTATGTAGCAATAGAGCTAAAAAGACACATGTAATAGCCTCTATATATTTACTCTTATTAAGTGCATGTCTAATGCATTATGTTGTGTGTTTAGCATGCGTTTGTTACAAATAAATGTTCTTTTTGAATTTAGATATGCATTTGTTTATCAGTCTGGTCCAGATGCAGATGTGGAGAATATGTGTAAAAAATTGAAAAACCATGATGTATAAATTCACAATCTTTGCTGAAACGTGAATATATGCATTTATATATATGTGTGTAGAGAGAGAGAGATTCAGGGTCTAGTCAAATAGAATAAACGCCCAGAAAAAAGATTCCACCCGTTGGACCGAGCGCCGCCTAGCGGTAGCTGTAATAATTTCAAAGAGTTGAAGGTTGACATCCCTTGGACTTATCAAGTAGCCTGGGTGCCATCCTAGTTGTATGCCTGGGCTCCCATACTGCCCCGTAAGAAATATTTCTTGGAGGAGGGGGGGGGGGGGGGTATGGGAGCCCCGGCATACAAATAGGATGGTACCCAGGCTACTTATCAAGTTCCTGTCATTCAAAGTTGTTTCAAATTTTGATAATCTGATGAAATGGAGCATGGAGACATAATCTTCCTAGCTTTACATTCTTCTTTGGCGCCAGTCTTGTCTCCGGGAGAAATCTGTTGACCAAGTTTCGCAAGCTGCCACCTGAATTCGAACTCCGCGGAGCAAAGTGTAACGAGAAACCGCCATCTCCGCGGAGCTCATTCCGCTAACCCCCGTGTCTCCGTCCACCAGACGTGCCGTGGTGTGGAAGAAAGTATTGAGGGTTTCTCGTCGTCTTTCTACGAGCCTTTTTCGGTTCAGATCGTCGGGATTTCATCCTAGGTACAACTCAGGTACGTACCAAGAGCTTGTCTACTCTACAGTTATCGATATGACGGGAGAATAATACGTACAAGTTCGTTTTACCTTCTCTGAGTCTGTCACTAGCTAGCCGCCAGCGGAGGTATCCCTCGCCAGCGACTTGTGTGCCGCTTGTGAGAAGTCTTCTATACAGCTCGTAAAGCAACGGTTTCTTGTTTGTAAACGAGTTTCTGTCAGAAACAACAGAGTTTATATAGAGCAGCACACACACGCAAACTTTCTTTGGTTTTGTTGTGCCCTTGTAGGTGCAAAATGGCGTAGATTGTTTCCTGAATTTGTCTGAGAAAAAGTTGTTGACACCTCAGCGAAGGTCTAGAAGGGGTTATGCGGTCTCCATGAATATTGGAAATCAAACACGACAGCAAAAGTGCTTGCTTATTGTATAAATATAATACAAACGTCTTTCTATAATCCACAGTTGATTTTGCAGACAAATGGTACTTTTGGGGTTGAAATGTGGAAGTTTTTTTTAGATAGAATTTTCTGTAAACCCCCAATTGCGCCTCGCAACGGTCCTCCCGCCCAGACATCTGGTTTCTATCCTGGAGGAAAGACCTGGAGTCAGGGGAGGTTCATTAACTCTCGTACATGTTGCCTTATTGATTGAGTGGGAGTTAGGGGTGATACATTAACTATTTAGAAGAAAGATTTGTCGAAAAAGGGAATATTTGAAGGAAATGCAGGCTTTCTGATCACACCTTTTTGTTTTCCACAGGATTCCATAGTCCAGTAGGGCTGAAAAGGGAAACAAGATTCCATAGTCCAGTAGTGCTGAAAGGAAAACAGGCTTCCATAGCCCAGTATTGCTGAAAGGGAAACAGGATTCCATAGTCCAGTAGTGCTGAAAGGAAAACAGGATTCCATAGTCCAGTAGTGCTGAAAGGAAAACAGGATTCTATAGTCCAGTAGTGCTGAAAGGAAAACAGGATTCCATAGTCCAGTAGTGCTGAAAGGAAAACAGGATTCCAAAGTCCAGTAGTGCTGAATTCCCTGCTGAAAGGGAAAACAGTGAGGCATCGCCTGGCTTAATCCAGACATCAGCACTCTTTATAAAAGATATTTTGCAGGTAAGGACATATTATTAACTTCTCCAAGAAAAGGTTGTATAGTTTCTTACATTTCTATGTACAGTATGTGGTTTAGCAGCATATCTCAGTAGGCTTTGGATGGATTGTCATGAAATTTGGTCTAATATTGTCCCACTGATAAAATGATTACGTTTTTAGCAATACGGCAGATTTCCTAGCAACTGCAGTAGAACTTCTGGTGTTTTTATGTTGTATTGGGGAAAAGTTCTGGATAAGCAATGATGATAATTTTTGCAAAAGTGATAGCTCTTCTTTTTGAGAAGTGTCATTAATTTCGACCCTACACAACAGGCCAATTTAAGTTTTGCAACAACAGATAAATGTTCAAACAAACTCATAGTGTCAAAACTATCCCAGCAACCAACAACTTTCCAAGTCATCCTTACTTTTCTCGATGCAAATTTGAAGACTACTTGATAGTTTCTTCAGTTTTAGTGTTTGCCTGATAAGATACGCAGAAACTGTGTTGAAATGAAATGTCATTTTCATACTCCAGGACTACAGAGGTGAATTCAGCTTTTGTTACCATGGCAACAAACAGCAATGGCTCTGATGGCATCAAAAAAGGATCGGATGGGAGATCTGCCACAAAAACATACAGATGTGAGGAGTGCAGCAAGCAGTTCAGTTGGCTGGATAGTCTAAAGAAACACATGCGGACTCACACAGGGGAGAAACCCTACCAGTGTGAGGAGTGCAGCAAGCAGTTCAGTCGGCAGGATAGTCTGAAGACACACATGCGGACTCACACAGGGGAGAAACCCTACAAGTGTGAGGAGTGTGGCAATCAGTTTAGGCAGCTAAGTAATTTGAAGTCCCACATGCGGACTCATACAGGTGAGAAACCTTACAAGTGTGAGGAATGCAGCAAGCAGTTTAGTGAGCTGAGTAAACTGAAGACCCACATGCGGACTCACACGGGGGAGAAACCCTACAGGTGTGCAAAATGCAGCAAGCAGTTCAGTCAGCTTGGTAATTTCAAGACCCACATGCGGACTCACACAGGTGAGAAACCCTACAAGTGTGAGGAGTGCAGAAGGCAGTTCAGTGATCTGAGTAATCTGAAGAGACACATGCGGACTCACACAGAGGAGAAACCCTACAAGTGTGAGGAGTGCAGCAAGCAGTTCAGTCAGCTGGGTCATCTGAAGACACACATGCGGACTCACACAGGAGAGAAACCCTACAGTTGTGAGGAGTGTGGCAGGCAGTTCAGTCAGCTGGGTAGTCTGAAAACACACATGCGGAGCCGGACTCACACAGGTGAGAAAACCTACAAGTGTGAGGAGTGCAGCAAGCAGTTCAGTGAACTGGGTGGTCTGAAAGACCACATGCGGACTCACACTGGGGAGAAACCCTACAGGTGTGAGGAGTGCAGCAGGCAGTTCCGTCGGCTGGATGATCTGAAGACCCACATGCGGACTCACACAGGGGAGAAACCCTACAGGTGTGAGGAGTGCAGCAGGCAGTTCAGTCGGCTGGGCTCTCTGAAGGACCATATGCGAACGCACACTGGTGAGAAGCCCTACAGTTGTGAGGAGTGTGGCAGACAATTCAGTCAGCTGGGTAGCCTGAAGAAACACATGCAGACTCACTCGTAAGAATCCCTAGAGGTGTGACTGAGGAGTACAAAACCTTACAGTTTTGAGAATAGAGTTTTGAGCATATGAAATATCTAGTTTTCTAAGTCTGACAGGGAAGAAACTCCAACAGTGTGAGGAGTTCAGCAAACTGTTCAGTCACCTGGGTCATACATTGCAAGAGACACATGCAAACTCTTAAGTTGGTGATTTTAGAATACCTCAACTTGTGTGCAGGCCATAATGACCTAAAGAAGGTGGGTCATGTGAAACCATACGGGAAAAAAGAAATACTTGGATTGAGGACATTCGTGTTGTACAAGACACCTTTGTGACTAAGAGCAAGTTTTATTTACAATCCTGTTAACTCTCTTTAATGTGAAAGTGAGGAATCAGACTGGTAAACAAAACCTATGATGTACTACAAACAACATTTCAGTACCCCTTGTTAAAAGTCTACAGCATAGGCTTTTAGCATAGGGGATGTTAAACATTGTATATTAAGCTAACTAACCCGTAACCTAAGTTTATTTCTTTCAAGTTCTTTTATAGAGGAAGAGAGTTTTGGTTTTATAGATATTAGCATGTTATGGTTTATTCTGTTAAACTAGATATTTAATTTATTTATAGATTCTTTTAGTATAGTATTTATTTTCTTGTTTCAGACTAATTGTTGCCATAGATGATAGAATTAACTGTAGTTCATGTAAGTGCAGGTAGATAAAGACTAGTGTTGTTACTGATATTTTAAACTACTGCATAACATATTGTAGCTATAGTTATAGAAGCTAATATTCACTCTTTAAAGTTTAAGTAGATAGATCTATATGCGAAGTAAGTGCTTGTTGTCAGTTTTGGTTACCGGTATGTTACCACCATGCATTGGTTTAAGTCGTTTTTATTTGTTTTAAATAAATTTTCTTTTTGAATTTTAAATATGCGTTTGTCTATAACCCTGGTCTGGTTGCAGATGTGAAGAATATGTCCAAACTATTGCAACACCATGATTTATAAATCATTTGCATAATTTTCATCTAATAATGTAGATCTCTGTCTAAGCTACCCACATACCAAAAATCATAAAAATACATTGTTCCTTTGTGAATTTATCTGCTCTAAAAGGTTTCGCCAGAAACCTCACTGAAGTTCCAGAACAAGCTGCTAGGGGGACCAAACCCACACCACTTATTACTAGCCTCCTTCGCAGTCTTGTTGGGCGTGGGCGTAATTTTTTCTCTGAGCCACGCGAGTAATATGCCGCCGCGAGGGACGATTTGCTGCCGAAGGACTTTTGCCACGGAGAGAAGGTTTCCGCGCTCCAACAAGACTGCTTCCAATCGGCGACTAGAAAGGACCTCGGATTAAGCCAGCCTTTCATAGAGGCTATTAACATGTTCGTGCAGGTCCAATTCACATGTTCGCGCAGGTCCAATTCACATGTTCGCGCAAGGGTAATTCACAGATACGCATGGAGCGCTCGCCTTTTGTCAACGGTTGGTTTTATTAGCTTGCGTTATAGTGGAAGGTTCCAACAGAGAAAGGTTGAACATTGGTAATGTTACAACAAAGGCATTGCTGTGCATATTTAAGCATCCCATGCAAACAAACCAAGACAAACTTTGCAGTACTATTTTTGCTGGTGAAATGTGCCATTCTTTTTATTACACAACTTGCTGCGGAGCGGTGCGTTACCCTCCTATGACCAGTGAGATCAACCCGCCACCAAACAACATGGCGGCACTTTGTTTATCTGTCCACGTCCCCCAGCAATATCGCTTAGCTTGCGGGTTCCTGTGGTAGTGATCTGTTTAAAGTTGTTTTTCGTAGCAGCAATGACTACGGGATTTTGTCGAGTGGATAGGGCTCGGTTTTCGGGAATGGTTGGCGTTCTACCGACGGGTTGATCGGCGACCGCTAGAAAGTTGCAAGTTTCGGCTCGTCGAGGAATGGGGCGTGAACACCTCCTTGCACTGGTGGCGTTTATTGCGGGAAGTTCACACATCCATGCCAATCGCTCCTAAGTGTTTTTTGATAGCCCTTTCTAGTCGCCGATTGGAAGCAGTCTTGTTGGAGCGCGGAAACCTTCTCTCCGTGGCAAAAGTCCTTCGGCAGCAAATCGTCCCTCGCGGCGGCATATTACTCGCGTGGCTCAGAGAAAAAATTACGCCCACGCCCAACAAGACTGCGAAGGAGGCTAACTTATTACTGGCAGGAAGAGCTATCCACCACTCAAAAATCAAGACCATAGCATGTCCAGGACAAAAGATACAAAAACCGGAAGTTCTGCTCCTGTACCAAGATCAGCCACCAGGAAGTCCAAAATCGACCTTGACCTTTGGCTACCCAACACCTATCCACATACCAAATATCATTACAATCCATCCAAAGGTTCAAAAGTTATGCTGGCCACAAATATCCGGAAACACAAAAACACACACAGACAGACACAAAGACAGATGCCAAAAACAATACCTCGGAGTCAATTTTTCATGGTGGAAAAAAACTCCGCGGATGACGAGAACAATCCCGCTTAACCTCGTTATGAATCCCATCTCCGCGGAGCTCATTCCGTAAGACCCCGTGCCTCGGTCCACCAGACGTGTCGTGGTGTGGAAGAAAGGAAGTATCGAGGGTTTCTCGTCTTTCTACGAGCCTTTTTCGGTTCAGATCGTCGGGATTTCATCCTACATACAACTCAGGTACGTACCAAGAGCTTGTCTACAGTTATCGATGTGACAGGAGAATAACACGTACAAGTTTGTTTTACGCTCTCTGAGTCTCTCGCTAGCTAGCCGCTAGCGACATGTGTGCCGCTTGTTTGTGAGAAGTTCTATACAGCTCGAAATTATAACGGTTTCTTGTTTGTAAAGAAGCTTCTGTCAGAAACAACAGTTTATATAGAGCAGCACACACACATGCAAACTTTCTTATTTGTTTGGTTGTGCCCTTGTAGGTGGAAAATGGCGTAGATAGTTTCCAAATTTGTCTGAGAAAAAGTTGTTGATACCTCAACGAAGGTCCAAAGGGGGTTATGTTGACTCTTGAAAAATTGGAAAATAAACACGACAACAGAAGTGCTGAACCTTATTGTGCAACTGATAGAAATGCCTGTCTATTATCTACAGTTGATTTTGCATGCAAAGCGTAATGTTTGGGTTGAACTGTGGAAGTTGTTTTGAGGTAGAATTTTCTGAGAACCCCCAAATGTGCCTCGTAACGGTCTTCCCGCCCAGACATCTGGTTTCTATCATGGAGGAAAGGTCTGGAGTCAGGGGAGGTTCATTAACTCTCGTACATGTTGCGGTATTGATTGAGGGGCAGTTAGGGGTGATACATTAACTATTTAGAAGGAAGCTTTGTCGACTAATGGGATATTTGACGGAAATGCAGGCTTTCTGATGACAGTTTTTGTTTTCCTTTTCACCAGGATTCCATAGTCCAGTAGTGCTGAAACTGTGAAAGGGAAACAGGATTCCATAGTCCAGTAGTGCTGAAACTGTGAAAGGGAAACAGGATTCCATAGTCCAGTAGTGCTAAAAGGAAAACAGGATTCCATAGTCCAGTAGTGCTGAAAGGGAAAACAGGATTCCATAGTCCAGTAGTGCTGAAGGGAAACAGGATTCCATAGTCCAGTAGTGCTGAAAGGGAAACAGGATTCCATAGTCCAGTAGTGCTGCCTGCCCTGCTGAAAGGCAAACAGTGAGGCATCGCCTGGCTTAATCCAGACATCAGTACTCTTCGTAAAATATATTTTGCAGGTAAGGCCACACCAATTTATTTTCTTGGTTAACGGATTTTTGTAGAAAAAAAATGGAGCGGGCGGGCGGGAAAAAAATAAAAATAAAAATTTGATACTACCTGCCATACAGCCATGTAGTGTGAAATCCAGACTGCTTATTAAGTTACGAAAATACTGGGAAAGAAACAAAAGACAAGAGAGGATGTACCGTATTGTGTTTTATTTGCTATCCACACCATTGGGTTGATAATCTTTTTCGTACACGAGCAAAATGCAGAAAACAAGTTTTAGCATGTTACTTTCAAGTTCCACCATCATCACATGTACTCTAAAACATGACACGGATGTTAACTCTCACAAGCAATTTCATAGTCACAACAACTTTAAAGGGGACAAAATTTATTCAATTTTACATGTACTGTACCTAGACTCTGCCTTGATCCAAAGTTCCAGCTTTCTCAAACAATTTAAGCTTCCGCCACAAATTTTGTCCGCCATGAGGCTCCCAGAACAAAACAAATGACTGAGCCAACATGGTTCCAGAACATCGCATCTGATTGGTCAGAAAGTAAAACAATTCACGATTGGCTACTTTACGTCATGTGACTATGTGTGCAGGAGCGCCTCTAGCGACATTGGTATCAACTGCAGCAATTTCATTGGGTCTCCCTGTTCAGGGTATTACCGGTCTGTGGGGTCTAAACTATGACGTTTTTTATTTTTATTTTCATTTGGCAAAAAAAGCAAGCGGCGAATCCGTTAACCAAGGAAATAAATTGGTGTGGCCTAAGGACATATTATTAACTTCTCCAAGAAAAATGTTGCATATTTTGTTGCATTTGTATGTATGTGGTTTAGCAGCTTTAATTTGGGTGGATTGTCTTGAAATTTGGTATAATCTTGTCCCACTGATAAAATGATTATGTTTTTAGCAATATAACAGATTTCCTATGAACTGCAGTAGAACTTCTGGTGTTTTTATGTTGTATTGGGGAAAAGTTTTGGATAAGCAATGATGATAATTTTTGCAAAAGTGATAGCTCTTCTTTTTGAGAAGTGTCATTAATTTCAACCCTACACAACAGGCCAATTTAAGTTTTGCAACAACAGATAAATGTTCAAACAAACTCATAGTGTCAAAATTATCCCAGCAACCAACAACTTTCCAAGTTCCTTGCTTTTCTCGATACAAATTTGAAGACTACTTGATAGTTTCTTCGGTTTTAGTGTTTGCCTGATGAGATACGGAAAAACTGTGTTGAAATTAAATGTCATTTTCATACTCCAGGACTGCAGAGGTGAATTCAGCTTTTGTTACTATGGCAACAAATAGCGGTGGCTCTGATGACATCAAAAGAGGATCGGATGGGACATCTGCCACAAAAACGTACAGGTGTGAGGAGTGCAGCAAGCAGTTCAGTTATCTGAGTCATCTCAAGGCACACATGCGGACTCACACAGGTGAGAAACCGTACAGATGTGAGGAGTGCAGCAGACAGTTCAGTCAGCTGGGTAGTCTGAAGAAACACATGCGGACTCACACAGGGGAGAAACCCTACCAGTGTGAGGAGTGCAGCGCGCAGTTCAGTCGGCTGGGTAGTCTTAAGAAACACATGCGGACTCACACTGGGGAGAACCCCTACAAGTGTGAGGAGTGCAGCAGGCAGTTCAGAGAGCTTGGTCATCTAAAGAAACACATGCGGACTCATACAGGTGAGAAACCTTACAGGTGTGAGGAGTGCAGCAGGCAGTTCAGTCAACTGGGTCATATGAAGAGACACATGCGGACTCATACAGGTGAGAAACCCTACAAGTGTGAGGAGTGCAGCAGGCAGTTCAGTGAACTGGGTGATCTGAAGACACACATGCGGACTCATACTGGGGAGAAACCCTACAGGTGTGAGGACTGCAGCAGGCAGTTCAGTCAGTTAAGTAATCTGAAGAAACACATGCAGACTCACACATGTGAGAAATCATACAAGTGTGAGGAGTGTGGCAGGCAGTTCAGTCAGTTAAGTAATCTGAAGAAACACATGCGGACTCACACAGGTGAGAAACCCTACAGCTGTGAGGAGTGCAGCAGGCAGTTCAGAGAACTTAGTAGTCTGAAGAAGCACATGCGGACTCACACAGGGGAGAAACCCTACAGTTGTGGGGAGTGCAGCAGGCAGTTCAGTCAACTGGGTCATATGAAGAAACACATGCGGACTCACGCAGGTGAGAAACGCTTCAAGTGTGAGGAGTGTGGCAGGCAGTTCAGTGAGCTGAGTAAACTGAAGAGCCACATGCGCACTCACACAGGTGAGAAACCCTACATGTGTAAGGAATGCAGCAAGCAGTTCAGTGAACTGGGCAATCTGAAGAGACACATGCGGACTCACACAGGAGAGAGGCCCTACAAGTGTGAGGAGTGCAGCAAGCAGTTCAGTGAACTGGGCAATCTGAAGAGGCACATGCGGACTCACGCAGGAAAAACCCTACAGGTGTGAGGAGTGCAGCAGTGCAGCAGACAGTTTAGTGATCTGGGTAATCTGAAGAGGCACATGAGAGAAACTGGTGTGACTGAGGAGTACAAAACCGCACAGTTTTGAGGATTGAATTGTGAGCTGGTCGTATGAAGTATCCAGCTTGCAAAGTCTGACAGGGAAGAAACTCTAACAGATGAGTTCAGCAAACTGTTTAGTCCCCTGGACCATTGCAACGGACACATGCAAACTCAAGATTGGAGATTTTGGAATAATTCAACTTGTGTGCAGACGTAGAGAAGGCTGATCATGTGAAAAACCATACAGGAAAAAAGTCAAAAGAATACTGAGTCAGATTGAGGACATTTGGTGTTGTACAAGACTAAGATCAAGTTTTATTTCCAACCTGTTAACTTTTTTTATTGAGAATGAGGAATCCAACTGGCAAAGGAACATTTGTGTATTAGCTCTTCATGATGTACTACAAACAGTGACTTCTATTTAACTGTGTGTAAAGTGTGCTTTAGTGTCTTTCATAGAATGTTTTCTTCCTTGGAAACATTAGACTATATCATAGTATATGTGGTACATCTGGTTTGTAGCATTCCACAGCATAGCTTAACAATATTACTGATACAGGGGAGATAAAATACTGTATATCAACCTTACTAACCTCAGTTAATTTGTTTTCAGTTTTTTTTATATAGCGGAAGAGATATTTGTTTTTATAGGATTACCATCCACTATTAGTATCACTATGTTGTTGTTTATACTGTTAACCTAGATATTTAGGGTCAGATTATTTAATATAGTATTTATTTTCTTGTTTTCATAGATGGATTACCATCCCATCCAATATTAGCATGATATTGTTTATTCTGTTAACCTGGATATTTATAGAATCAGCCTATTTAGTATCGTATTTCTTTTCTTGTTTCTGACTATAATGGTTGCCATATATGATAGAATTGGTTCATGTAGTTGTAAGTGCATAGGAAGAAGTTTGTTGCTGATATTCTACTGTATTACATTTTGTAGCAATAGAACAAACAGGTAGATGTTATAGAGCCTTATATTTACTCTTCAAGTACATGTATAATGTATATCAGGTAGGTGGCCTTTTGAGCTTTTGTTATGTGAACATGGGTTTGTTCAACGTTTTCGTTTGTTGAAAATAAATGTTCTTTTTGAATTTTAGATATGAGTTTGTTTATAACACTGGTCTGGTCGCAGATGTGAAGAATAGGTGCAAAATATTGAAATACTATGATCCATAAATTCACAATCTTTGTTGAAACGTGAAGATATATATATATATATAAAAGAAAGCCCAGAAAAAATTCGCCCCGTTGGCCCGCGCGCCGCCTAGCGGTAGCTGCAATAATTGCCCCTATATTGCAAGACTGGTGCAGAGTTGAAGGTTGACATCCCTTGGACTTATCAAATAGCCTGGGTGCCATCCTAGTTGTATGCCTGGGCTCCCATGCTGCCCCGAAAGAAATATTTCTTAGGGGGAAGTATGGGAGCCCCGGCATACAAATAGGATGGTACCCAGGCTACTTATCAAGCTCCTGTCATTCAAAGTTGTTTCAAATTTTGATAATCTGAAATTGAGCATGGAGACCTAATCTTCATAGCTTTACAGTCTTCTTTGGCTCCAATCTTGTCGAAAGAAATTTGTTGACCAAGTTTCGCAAGCTGCCACTAGAGTTCGAACTCCGCGGACCAAAGTGTAACAAGAAACCGCCTCCGCCGACCTAGGAATCCCATCTCCGCGGAGCTGATTCCGCTAACCCCCGTGTCTCCGTCCACCAGACGTGTCGTGGTGTGGAAGAAAGTATCGAGGGCTTCTCGCAAACGTCGTCTTTCTACGAGCCTTTTTCGGTTCAGATCGTCGGGATTTCGTCTTACATACAACTCAGGTACGTACCAAGAGCTTGTCTACTCTACAGTTATCGATGTGACAGGAGAATAACACGTACAAGTTTGTTTTACGCTCTCTGAGTCTCTCACTAGCTAGCCGCCAGCGACGTATGTGCCGCTTGTGAGAAGTTCTATGGTCTTCTATACAGCTCGAAAAGCAACGGTTTCTTGTTTGTAAACAGGTTTCTGTCAGAAATAACAGAGTTCAAATAGAGCAGCACACACACGCAAGCTTTCTTTGGATTTGTTGTACATGTATCCTTGTAGGAGTAAAATGGCGTAGATCGTTTCCAAATTTGTCTGAGAAAAAGTTGTTGACACCTCAGCGAAGGTCTAGAAGGGGTTATGCGGTCTCCTTAAATATTGGAAATCAAACACGACAACAAGAGTGCTTGCTTATTGTACAAATATAATACAAATGCCTTTCTATAATCCACAGTTGATTTTGCAGACAAAGGGTAATTTTGGGGTTGAAATTTGGAAGTTCTTTCGAGATAGAATATTCTGGAAACCCCCGAATATTCCTCGTAACGGTCTTCCCACGCAGACATCTGGTTTCTATCATGGAGGAAAGGTCTGGAGCCAGGGGAGGTTCACTAACTCCCGTACATGTTGCGTTATTGATTGAGGGGGAGTTAGGGGTGATACATTAACTATTTAGAAGGAAGCTTTGTCGAAAGAGGGAATATTTGAAGGAAATGCAGGCTTTCTGATGACATGTTTTTGTTTTCCACAGGATTCCATAGTCCTGTACTGCTGAAAGGGAAAACAGGATTCCATAGTCCAGTAGTGCTGGAAGGGAAAACAGTGAGGCTTCATTCTGTGTTCTTCCAGACATCAGTACTCAGGTGTAGCAGTTCAAGACTTGACTGTGTTAAAGATATTTTGCAGGTAAAAACATTTATTAACTTCTCCAAGAAAAAAGTTGCATATTTTGTTGCATTTGTATGTACGTGGTTTAGCAGCATAATGTATCTCAATAGGCTCTCAGTGGATTGTCATGAAATTTGGTATAATCTTGTCCCACTGATAAAATGATTATGTTTTTAGCAATACGGCAGATTTCCTAGGAACTGCAGTAGAACGTCTGGTGTTTTTATGTTGTATTTGGGCAAAAGTTCTGGATAAGCAAGGATGATACTTTTTTCAATAGTGATAGCATCAGAAATTTTGACCATACAGGCCTATTTAAGTTTTGCATCAATAGATAAAGGTTCAAACTCATAGTATCAAAACTATCTCAGCAACCAACAACTTTCCAAGTCATCCTTACTTTTCTCGATGCAAATTTGAAGACTACTTGATAGTTTCTTCAGTTTTAGTGTTTACCTGATAAGATTCGCAGAAACTGTGTTGAAATTAAATGTCATCTTCACGCTCCAGGAGTACAGAGGTGAGTTCGGCCTTTGTTACCATGGCAACGAACAGCGGTGGCTCTGATGGCATCAAAGGAGGATCGGATGGGAGATCTGCCACAAAAATGTACAGATGTGAGGAGTGCAGCAAGCAGTTCAGTTATCTGTGTCATCTCAAGACTCACATCCGGACTCACACCGGTGAGAAACCCTACAGGTGTGAGGAATGCAGCAAGCAGTTCAGTCTGCTGGGTAGTCTTAAAACTCACATGCGGACTCACACAGGTGAGAAACCCTACAGGTGTGAGGAGTGCAGCAGGCAGTTCAGTGATCTGCGTAATCTGAAGAACCACATGCGAACTCACACAGGGGAGAAACCCTACAGGTGTGAGGAGTGCAGCAGGCAGTTCAGTCAGCTGGGTGATCTGAAGAAACACATGCGGACTCACACAGGGGAGAAACCCTACAGGTGTGAGGAGTGTGGCAGGCAGTTCAGTCAGCTGGGTCATGTGAAGTCTCACATGAAGACTCACACAGGTGAGAATCCCTACAAGTGCGAGGAATGTAGCAAGAAGTTCACTAGGCTAGATAGTCTGAAGAGACACATGCAGACTCACTTGTAAGAAACTCTACTGGTGTGACTGAGGAGTACAAAACTTCACAGTTTTGAATTGAGTTGTGAGCCTGGTCCTATGAAATATTCAGGTTGCAAAGTCAGACAGGGAAGAAACTCTAACAGGGTTCAGCAAACTGGAATAACTCAACTTGTGTGCAGACCAAGAGAAATCTGATCATGTGAAAAACCATACAGGAAAAAAGTTAAAGGAATACTCAGTCAGATTGAGGACATTTGGGGTTGTACAAGACTAAGATCAAGTTTTTATTTCAAACCTGTTAACTCTCTTTATTGAGAGAGTGAGAAATCCAACTGGCAAAGGAACATCTATCTGTTAGCTCTTCATGATGTGCTACAAACAGTGACTTTAAAACTTTGTGTAAAGTTTGCTTTAGTGTCTTTCATAGAATGTTTTGTTCCTTGCATACACAGGACTGCATGTGGTACATCTGGTTTGTAGCATTCCATAGTATAGCATAACAATATTACTGATACAGGGGATGCAAAATACTGTATATCAAACTAACTAACCTAAGTTACTAGTAATTTGTTATAATATTTTTTATATAGCGGAAGAGAGATTTGTTTTTATAGGATTACCATCCACTATTATTAGTATGTTGTTGTTTATACTGTTAACCTAGATATTTAGGGTCAGATTATTTAATACAGTATTTGTTCTCTTGTTTTTATAGATGGATTACCATCCCATCCAATATGAGCATGTTATTGTTTATTCTAGATATTTATAGAATCAGTCTATTTAGTATCATATTTGTTTTCTTGTTTCTGACTAATGCCATAGATGACAGAATTAGTGCATGCAGTTATAATTGCATAGAGATTGGAGGTTTTTTTGCTGATATTCTACTGTGTTACATTACATTTACATATAGCAATAGAGTCAACTAATAGACTCTATGTAGGGCCTAATATTTACTCTCATTGAAGTACATATGTAATGCATTATGTTGTGTGTTTAACATGCGTTTGTTGCAAATAAATGTTCTTTTTGAACTTAAGATATGCGTTTGTTTATAACACTGGTCTGGTTGCAGATGTGAAGAATATGTGCAAAGTATTGGACCACCCTGATCCATAAATTCATAATCTTTGACATGTGAATATGTATATAACTACAGAACCGCTAAATGAGTGACTTAAGAATCAGGGTCTAGTCAAATGCCAGTAGAAATTACAATGAAAACTTAGCCTAAAAACTACTAGTATCCGCCCCGTTGGCCCCAGCGCCGCCTAGCGGTGGCTGTGATAATTGCTCCAATATTGCAAGGCTTGTGCAGAGTGGTACTCTCCAAGCAGAGGTTAATGGTGGAAAATCGTTTGCTTTTTATATATGGCCTTTTTTTGTCTACAGACTGGCCAATCTGATACTGTCTTTCCCCTACAAAAGATCTGCTTGGAGATTACAGAGTGGAAGGTTAACAACCCTTGGTCCTTCCTTGGACTTATCATTCAAAGTTATTTCAAATTTTTATATTCTGATGAAATTGAGCATGGAGACCTAATCTTCCTAGCTTTACAGTCTTCTTATGCTCCAGTCTTGTCTCCGGGTGAAATCTGTTGACCAAGTTTCGCAAACTGCCACAAGAATCCGAACTCCGCGGAGCAAAGTGTAACAAGAAACCGGCTCCGCGGAGCTCATTCCTCTAACCCCCGTGTCTCCGTCCACCAGACGTGTCGTGGTGCAGAAGAAAGTATCGAGGGTTTCTCGTCGTCTTTCTACGAGCCTTTTTCGGTTCAGATCGTCGGGATTTCATCCTACATACAACTCAGGTACGTACCAAGAGCTTGTCTACTCTACAGTTATCGATGTGACGGGAGAATAACGCGTACAAGTTTGTTTTACGCTCTTTGAGTCTCTCACTAGCTAGCCGCTAGCGACGTGTGTGCCGCTTGTGAGAAGTTCTATACAGCTCGAAAAGCAACGGTTTCTTGTATGAAAACAAGTTTCTGTCAGCAGCAACCTAACAGGGTATTTAGAGCAGCACACGTTCGCAAATTTATGTTGTTGTCTACAGGGTGTTCTAGGTGTAACAATTCATGTGTGAGAAAAAGTTGTTGACACCTCAGCGAAGGTCTAGAAGGGGTTATGTTGACTCCTTAAAAATTAGAAATAAAACACAACGACAGAAGTACTTGCATATTGTACAAGTGGCAAAAATGCCGGTCTTGGAATCCACAGTTGATTTTGCAGACAAAGGGTGATTTTGGGGCTGAAATTTGGGAGTTCTTTTGAGATAGAATATTGTGTAAACCCCCCAAATGTGCCTCGTAACGGTCTCCGCGCCCAGACATCAGGTTTCTATCATGGAGGAAAGGTTAGGGTTAGAGTTAGGGTTAAGGTCTGGAGTCAGGGGAAGTTCATTAACTCTCATACATGTCGCGTTATTGATTGAGGGCAGTTAGGGGTGATACATTAACTATTTAGAAGGAAGCTTTGTCGACTAAGGAGATCTTTGAAGGAAATGTAGGCTTTCTGATCACATCTTTTTGTTTTCCATTTTCCACAGGATTCCATTGTCCAGTACTGCTGAAAAGGAAATCAGGGTTCCATAGTCCAGTAGTGCTGAAAGGGAAAACAGGATTCCAAGGTCCGGTAGTGCTGAAAGGAAAACAGGATTCCATAGTCCAGTAGTGCTGAAAAAAAGGGAAAACAGGATTCCATAGTCCAGTAGTGCTGAAAGGGAAACAGGATTCCATAGTCCAGTAGTGCTGAAAGGGAAACAGGATTCCATAGTCCAGTAGAGCTGCCTGCCCTGCTGAAAGGGAAAACAGTGAGGCTTCACCTGTGTTCTCCCAGACATCAGTACTCAGGTGTAGCAGTTTAGGACTTGACTGTGTAAAAGATATTTTGCAGGTAAGAACATTATCATATAATTATTAACTTGTGAAAGTTATGTTTAGTTGCATTTGTATGTCATGAAATTTGATATTAACTTAGGTTTTATATTCAAATGAAAGCTCATCTATGGTGGTAGAATCCATAGTTGCAAAGTTTAATCATAGTTCTAACACAAAAGGGAACTTACCATAAATTTTCGGCTGATCCCGTCAATCTTTGTCAGATGTAACCGGTATGATGCAATCGCTGACATTCCGGAAGTCACGGTTAATGGGTCCTGATGTAAATTCCCTCCTTCACAGTATTCTTACCTTATCCAGTGTAACTGTGTGGCCCGGGGACTCTATATCATATGGGTTGTGAAACTTCAGAAGTAGTTGAACTGGGACCATCAACCCTACATCAGCTATAAAGTTACTAGTAGGTCTTGTCCCATTGAAGTAATGATTATTTTTTTTTAGATCTCTGACAGATTTTCTAGATACTGCAGTAGAAATTCTGGTGTTTCTATGTTATGTTTGGACAAAACAAGGAGGTTAAATACAAGTGTATTTAACCTCCTTGGACAAAAATAGCAAGTTCTGGACAAGGTATAATTTTTGCAGGATAGAGATTCTAATAGGTCCTGTTGCACACTGAAACTTTTGAAATTAAATGTTCATATTCATACTCCAGGACTACAGAGGTGAATTCAGCTTTTGTTACCATGGCAACAAACAGCAATGGCTCTGGTGGCATCAAAAAAGGATCGGATGGGAGATCTGTCACAAAAACGTACAGATGTGAGGAGTGCAGCAAGCAGTTCAATCATCTGTGTAATCTCAAGACACATATGCGGACTCATACAGAGGAGAAACCGTACAGGTGTGAAGACTGCAGCAAGCAGTTCAGTCATCTCTGTAGTCTCAAGATACATATGCGGACTCACACTGGGGAGAAACCCTACAAGTGTGAGGAGTGCAGCAAGCAGTTCAGTCAGTTGGGTAGTCTTAAGAAACACATGCGGACTCACACAGGTGAGAAATCCTACAGGTGTGAGGAGTGTGGCAGGCAGTTCAGGCAGCTGGGTCATATAAAGGACCACATGCGGACTCATACAGGAGAGACGCCCTACAGGTGTGAGCAGTGCAGCAAGCAGTTCAGTCGGCTGGGTAGTCTGAAGGAACACATGAGGACTCACACAGGTGAGAAATCCTACAGGTGTGAGGAGTGTGGCAGGCAGTTCAGGCAGCTGGGTCATATGAAGGACCATATGCGGACTCATACAGGAGAGAAACCCTACAGGTGTGAGGAGTGCAGCTGGCAGTTCAGTCACTGGAGTGCTCTAAAGTGTCACATGCGGACTCACACAGGGGAGAAACCCTACAGGTGTGTGGAGTGCAGCAGGCAGTTCAGTCAGCAAAGTAGTCTGAAGAGACACATGCGGACTCACTTGTGAGAAACCGATGTAAATGAGGACTGCACAGTTTAGAGAATTGTGAGTGAGCCTGGTCCTTTGAAATATTCAGCTTGCAAAGTCTGGCAGGAAAGAAACTCCAACAGTGTGAGGAGTTCAGCAGATGGTTCAGTCACCTGGATCCTTACAAGAGACACATGCAAACTCTTAAGTGGGAGATGTTGGAATAACTCAACTTGTGTGCAGACCTAGAGGCTGATCATGTGAAAAACCGTGAAAAAAATGTGAAAATGCAGGAAAAAATCAAAGGAATACTGAGATTGAGGACATTTCGTGTTGTACAAGACTAAGATTTTTTTCCCAACGGTTGAACCCGTTAACTATATTGTGAGAGTGAGGAATCAAACTGGTAAAGGAACATCCATGTGTTAACTCTTCATGATGTACTACAAACAGTGACTTTACAACTTTGTGTTAAGTTTGCTTTAGTGTCTTTAATAGAACTGTTCCTTATATATATAGGACTGCATGTGGTACATCTGGTTTGTAGCATTCCATAGCATAGCATAACAATATTACTGATACAGGGGAGAGAAAATACTGTATATCAACCTAACTAACCTAAGTTAATTTGTTTTAATTTTTTTGTATAGCGGAAGAGAGATTTGTTTTTATAGGATTACCATCCACTATTATTAGTATGTTGTTGTTTATACTGTTAACCTATATGTTTAGGGCCAGGTTATTTAATATAGTATTTGTTTTCTTGTTTTTATAGATGGATTACCATCCCATCCAATATTAGCATGTTAAATTTTATTCTGTTAACCTAGATATTTATAGAATCAGTTTATTTAGACCAGTATTTGTTCTCTTTCTATCTGACTAATGGTTGCCACAAATGACAGAATTAGTGTATGCAGTTATAATTGCATAGAGATTGGAGTTTTTTGCTGATATTTTACTGTATTACATTATGTAGCAATAGAGCTAACAGACACATGTAATAGCCTCTATATAGGGCCTAATATTTACTATTATTAAAGTACATGTATAGTGCATTATGTTGTGTGTTTAACATGCGTTTGTTACAATAAATGTTTTTGAAGTTAAGATCTGCGTTTGTTCTAGCCTGGGTACCATCCTACTTGTATACCGGGGCTCCCACACTCGCTTCCCTAAGAAGTAGTCTGGAAATGGTTAGATCTGAGCAGTCTGGCTCGGTCAGATTTTGCCCGAGTGTGCTGATTGGTCCCTCCTGTCTTGTTCATTAGCCTAACGTCCTTCTCAGTATGTGATGATGCTTATCTCCTGCCTGCTCAGCAGGTATCACTGACCAAGGAAAGGTTTGTTTATTTATCTTGGACGGAGTGTAGTAGCCATTGAGAGACACTGTTGTCATGATTTTGCTAACATCTGAAGTAACAGAGCCACAAAGAACATCTTGCTTAAAGAAAACTACAAGAAATTGTTGTACTCAAGGTAAATTTGTGGCTGTACTTGTCATACATAAGCAGCAACTTTTTTGCCCTTACCAAAACAGCACATGGCCATGTGGACTTTGTACTGATGGGTCATCTACTAGTGGAAGAGGCTCCGCCCAGCCCTCCCCATGTGGCCTACCTCATTATGTGATATCATCACCAAGCCAAATAGATACAAGCGTTTCCAGACTACTTCTTAGGGAAGCGAGTGTGGGAGCCCCGGCATACAAGTAGGATGGTACCCAGGCTACGTTTGTTCATAACTCTGGTCCGGTTGCAGATGTGAAGAATATGTGCCAAAAATTGAAACACCCTGATCCATAACTTTACAATCTTTGTTGAAACGTGATCCATAAATTCGCAATTTTTGTTGAAACGTGAATATATACGATTCAGGTTCTAGTCAAATAGAATAAAAGCCCAGAAAAAAGATTCGCCCCGTTGGCCCGAGCGCCGCCTAGCGGTAGCTGCAATAATTGCCCCTATATCGGAAGGCTTGAGCAGAGTTCAAGGTTGACATGCCTTGGACTTATTAGTAGCCTGGGTGCCATCCTATTTGTATGCCTGGGCTCCCATGCTGCCCCCTAAGAAATATTTCTTAGGGGGAAGTATGGGAGCCCAGGCATACAAAGAGGATGGTACCCAGGCTACTTATCAAGCTCCTGTCATTCAAAGTTGTTTTAAATTTTGATAATCTGATGAAATGGAGCATGGAGACATAATCTTCCTAGCTTAACAGTCTTCTTTGGCTCCAGTCTTGTCAAAAGAAATCTGTTGACCAAGTTTCGCAAGCTGCCACATGAATTCGAACTCCGCGGAGCAAAGTGTAACGAGAAACCGCCTCCACTCTGCCTCATTATGAATCCCATCTCCGCGGAGCTCATTCCGCTAACCCCCGTATTTCCGTCCACCAGACGTGTTGTGGTGTGGAAGGAAGTATCGAGGGTTTCTCGTCGTCTTTCTACGAGCCTTTTTCGGTTCAGATCGTCGGGATTTCATCCTACATACAACTCAGGTACGTACCGAGAGCTTGTCTACTCTACAGTTATCGATGTGACAGGAGAATAACACGTACAAGTTTGTTTTACGCTCTCTTGAGTCTCTCACTAGCTAGCCGCTAGCGACGTGTGTGCCGCTTGTGAGAAGTTCTATACTGCTCGAAAAGCAACGGTTTCTTGTTTGTAAACAAGTTTCTGTCAGAAACAACAGAGTTCAGCACACACACGCAAACTTTCTTTGGTTTTGCTGTGTCCATGTAGGTGGAAAATGGCGTAGATCGTTGATAAATTTGTCTGAGAAAAAGTTGTTGACACCTCAGCGAAGGTCTAGAAGGGGTTATGTGGTCTCCTTATAAATTGGCAATCAAACGCGACAACAAGAGTGCTTGTTTATTGTACAAATATAATACAAACGCCTTTCTATAAACCACAGTTGATTTCGCATACAAAGGGTAATTTTGGGGTTGAAATTTGTGATTTCTTTTGAGATACAATATTTTGGAAACCCCCAAATGTGCCTCGTAATGGTCTTCCCGCCCAGACATCTGATTTCTATCATGGAGGAAAGGTCTGGAGCCAGGGGAGGTTCGTTGATTGAGGGGGAGTTAGGGGTGATACATTAACTATTTAGAAGGAAGCTTTGTCGAAAGAGGGAATATTTGAAGGAAATGCAGGCTTTCTGGTCACATGTTTTTGTTTTCCGTTTTCCACAGGATTCCATAGTCCAGTAGTGCTGAGAGGGAAAACAGGATTCCATAGTCCAATAGTGCTTCCTGCGCTGCTAAAAGGAAAAACAGGGAGGCTTCATCTGTGTTGTTCCAGAGATCTCAGGTGAAGCAGTTCAGGACTTGACTGTGTAAAAGATATTTTGCAGGTTAGAACATATTATTATTAACTTCTCCAAGAAAGTTTCAAAATGCGTTTCTTTGTTCACGTATGTGGTTTAGCAGCATATCTGGTAAATTTTGGCAAATTTGGTATAATCTTGAAAACAATGATTTTTTCACAGGTATTCCTGTAGAACAGGTCAATTTAAATTTTGCATCAATAGGTCAAGGTTTGAACAAAGAAACAGTGTTTAAACTATCACAGCAAGCACCAACTTGCTTTCCGGTATCCAAATTTAAGGACTGTTTGGTAGTTTCTGCAGCTTTGGTGTTTGTATGGTCATCATGATGACCTGAGTAGACAAAATTTTGGAATTACAATTAAATGTTGTTCATCTTCACACTCCAGGACTACAGAGGTGAGTTTGGCTTTTGTTACCATGGCAACAAACAGCAGTGGCTCTGATGGCATCAAAAGAGGATCGGATGGGAGATCTGCCACAAAAACGTACAGATGTGAGGAGTGCAGCAAGCAGTTCAGTCATCTTGGTCATCTAAAGTCTCACATGCGGACTCACACAGGTGAGAAACCCTACAGTTGTGAGGAGTGTGGCAGGCAGTTCAGTCAGCTGGGTAGTCTGAAAGACCACATGCGGACTCACACTGGGGAGAAACCCTACAGCTGTGAGGAATGCAACAGGCAGTTCAGTTATCTGTGTAATCTGAAGAACCACATGCGAACTCACACAGGGGAGAAGCCCTACAGGTGTACGGAGTGCAGCAAGCAGTTCCGTCAATGGAGTACTTTAAACTCTCACATGCGGGCTCACACAGGTGAAAAACCCTACAGGTGTGAGGAGTGCAGCAAGAAGTTCAGTCTGCTGTTTCATCTGAAGAGGCACATGTTGACTCACACAGGAGAGAAACCTTACAAGTGTGAAGAGTGCAGCAGGCAGTTCAGTGTGCCGCATAGTCTGAAGACACACATACGGACTCACACAGGTGAGAAACCGTACAAGTGTGAGGAGTGCAGCAGGCAGTTCAGTGAGCTGAGTAATCTGAAGAAACACATGAGGACTCACACAGGGGAGAAACCCTACAGGTGTGAGGAATGTGGCTGTCAGTTCAGTGAGCTGGCTAATATCAAGGCACACATGAGGACTCACACAGGTGAGAAACCCTACAGGTGTGAGGAGTGCAGCAGGCAGTTCTGTCGGCTGGATGATCTGAAGACCCATATGCGGACTCACACAGGTGAGAAACCCTACAAGTGTGAGGAGTGCAGCAGGCAGTTCAGTCAGTCGGGTCATCTAAAGAGACACATGCAGACACACCTGTGAGAAACCCTGCAGGTGTGACTGAGGAGTACAAAACCTCACAGTTTTGCGGATTGTGTTGTGAGCCTGATCCTTTGAAAAATCCAGTTTTCAAAGTCTGACAGGGAAGAAACTCTAACAGTGTCAGGAGTTCAGCAAACTGTTCAGTCACCTGGGCCATACATTGTAAGCGGCACATGCAAACTCTATCAATGACCTAAATAAGGTGGGTCATGTGAAACCATACAGGAAAAAAAAAAGAATTACTTGGATTGAGGACATTCATGTTGTACAAGACACCTTTGACTTTGTGACTAAGAGCAAGTTTTATTTACAATCCTGTGAACTCTCTTTATTGTGAAAGTGAGGAATCAGACTGGTAAAGAAAACCTATGATGTACTACAAACAACGTTTCAGTACCCCTTGTTAAGTCTACAGCATAGCATAGGGGATGTTAAACATTGTATATCAAGCTAACTACTAGTAACCCGTAACCTAAGTTTGTTTCTTTCAAGTTCTTTTGTTATAGATAGAGGAAGAGAGTTTTGGTTTTATAGATATTAGCATGTTATGGTTTATTCTGTTAAACTAGATATTAAATTTATTCATAGATTCTTTAAGTATAGTATTTGTTTTCTTGTTTCTGACTAATTGTTGCCATAGATGATAGAATTAACTGTAGTTCATGTAATTGTAGCTAGATGAAGACTAGTGTTGTTGCTGATATTCTAAACTACTGTATAACATTTTGTAGCTATAGTTAGAGAAGCTAATATTCACTCTTGAAGTACAAAGATGTATATGCGAAGTGCCTGTTGTTAGTTTGTTACTAGTATGAGAAGATCCGTCGGTTCAAGTCGTTTTCATTTGTTTTAAATAAATTTCCTGTTTGAATTTTATATATGCGTTTGTCTATAACACTGCTCCGGTTACAGATGTGAAAAATACGTGCCAAAAACAGAGTTACTTCAAATTCAGGTTCGAGTCAAATAGAATAAAAGCCCAGCGTAAGCGCCGCCTAGCGGTAGCTGTGATAATTGCTCCAATATTGCAGGGCTTGCGCGGAGTTGACACCCCTTGGACTTATCAAGCTCCTGTCATTCAAAGTTGTTTCAATTTTTGATAATCTGAAATGGAGCATGGAGACCTAATCTTCCTAGCTTTACAGTCTTCTTTGGCTTCTCAGTCTTGTCGAAAGAAATCTCTTGACCAAGTTTCATACTCTCCAAGCAGAGGTTTTGGGGAATTATCGTTACCTTTTTATATATGGCCGGGTTTTTTTTTTTGTTCTGATCCCCACCCGTCGGTGGCTGCGGAGCTTCTCTGGCTAATGGATACTGCCTGGCCAATTTGATACTGTCTTTTTGCCACCGAGAGGGATCTGCTTGGAGATTACAAGTTTCACAAGCTGCCACAACAAGCTGCCACATGAATTCGAACTCCGCGGAGCAAAGTGTAACAAGAAACCGCCTCCGCGGAGCTCATTCCTCTAACCCCCGTGTCTCCGTCCACCAGACGTGTCGTGGTGTGGAAGAAAGTATCGAGGGTTTCTCGTCGTCTTTCTACGAGCATTTTTCGGTTCAGATCGTCGGGATTTCACCCTACATACAACTCAGGTACGTACCAAGAGCCTGTCTACTCTACAGTTGTCGATGTGACAGGAAAATAACACGTACAAGTTTGTTTTACGCTCTCTGAGTCTGAGTAAGTCTCTCACCAGCTAGACGCTAGCGACGTGTGTGCCGCTTGTGAGAAGTTCTATACTGATTGAAAAGCAGCGGTTTCTTGTTTGTAAACAAGTTTCTGTCAGAAACGACTTTGGAGTGTATATGGAGCGGAACACGAACGTAAAATTTCTTTGGTTTGTTTTGCACTCGTAGGTGGAAAATGGCGTAGATTGTTTCCAATTTATGTCAGAAAATTTTATTGACACCTCAGCGAAGGTCTAGAAGGGGTTATAGCGGCTCCTTAAAATTTTAGAAAACAAACACAACAGAAGTTCTTGGATGTTGTGCAAATAACAAAATTGCATTTTTTTATGAATACATATTTGATTTTGCAGAGAAAGGGGAATTTTTTGGTTTGAAATTTGGGAGTTCTTTCGAGATACAATATCTTGTAAACCCCCAAATGTGCCTCGTAATGGTCTTCCCGCCCAGACATATGGTTTCTATCATCGAGGAAAGGTCTGGAGTCAGGGGAAGTCCATTAACTCTCGTGGCGTTTGGGGGGTGGGGTGGTAGGGGTGATACATTAACTATTTAGAAGGACGCTTTGTCGACTGAGGGGATATTTGAACGAAATGCAGGCTTTCTGATCACATCTTTTTGTTTTCCGTTTTCCGTAGGATTCCATAGTCCAGTAGTGCTGAAAGGGAAATAGGATTCCATAGTCCAGTAGTACTGAAAGGGAAACAGGATTCCATCGTCCAGTAGTGCTGAAAGGAAAACAGGATTCCATAGTCCAGTACTGCTGAAAGGAAAAAAAACAGGATTCCATAGTCCAGTAGTGCTGAAAGGGAAAACAGTGAGGCTTCACCTGTGTTTTTGCAGACATCAGTATTCTACGGTGCAGCAGCTCAAGACTTGACTGTGCAAAATATATTTTGCAGGTAACATCACATGATTATTCTCATTAGTATTTTTAGTTGCGTTTAGACTTTAGAGAGAAAAATAAAGGTTCAAGCAAACTGATAGCTTGACAAATATCACAACAAGCACCAACTTTCCAAGTAATCCATGCTTTTCTTCAGTTTTAGTGTTTGCCTGATAAAATATGTACTAGTAGAAACTGTGTTGAAATTAAATGTCATTTTCATACTCGCGTCTCCAGGACTACAGAGGTGAATTCAGCTTTTGTTACCATGGCAACAAACAGCAAGGACTCTGATGGCATCAAAAAAGGATCGGATGGGAGATCTGCCACAAAAACATACAGATGTGAGGAGTGCAGCAAGCAGTTCAGTTGGCTGGATAGTCTAAAGAAACATATGCGGACTCACACAGGGGAGAAACCTTACAAGTGTGAGGAGTGCAGCATGCAGTTCAGTCGGCAGGATAGTCTGAAGACACACATGCGGACTCACACAGGGGAGAAACTCTACAGGTGTGAGGAGTGCAGCAGGCAGTTCAGTGAGCTGGGTAATTTGAAGGCACACATGCGGACTCACACAAGGGAGAAACCCTACAATTGTGACGTCTGTAGCAGGCAGTTCAGTCAGCTGTGTAATTTAAAGGCACACATGCGGACTCACACAGGTGAGAAACCCTACAGGTGTGAGGAGTGCAGCAGGCAGTTCTGTCGGCTGGATGATCTGAAGACCCACATGCGGACTCACACAGGGGAGAAACCCTACAAGTGTGAGGAGTGCAGCAAGCAGTTCAGTCATTCGGGTCATCTGAAGAGACACATGCGGACACACCTGTGAGAAACCCTACAGGTGTGACTGAGGCAGTACAAAACCTCACAGTTTTGGGGATTGAGTTGTGAGCCTGGTCCTCTGAAATATCCAGTTTTGAAAGTCTGACAGGGAAGAAACTCCAACAGTGTGAGGAGTTCAGCAGACGGTTCAGTCACCTCGGTCATAAATTGTATAAGTGACACGTGCAAACTCTAATAATGACCTAAAGAAGGTGGGTCACGTGAAACCATGCAGGAAAAAAGAAGAAATACTTGGATTGAGGACATTCATGTTGTGACTAAGATCAAGTTTTTATTACCAGTCAGTTAACTCTCTTTGTTGTGAAAGTGAGGAATCAAACTGGTAAAGGAAAACCATGTATTTAGCTCTTCATGATGTACTACAAACAGTGACTTTAAAACTTTGTGTAAAGTTTACTTTAGTGTCTTTAATAGAACTGTTCCTTGCATACATAGGACTGCATGTGGTACATCTGGTTTGCAGCATTCCATAGTATAGCATAACAATATTACTGATACAGGGGAGATAAAATACTGTATATCAACCTAACTAACCTTAGTTACTAGTAATTTGTTTTAATTTTTTCATATAGCGGAAGAGAGATTTGTTTTTATAGGATTACCATCCACTGTTAGTATGTTGTTGTTAACCTAGATATTCAGGGTCTGATTATTTGATACAGTAGTTGTTTTCTTGTTTTTATAGATGGGTTACCATCCCATCCAATATTGGCATGGTATTGTTTATTCTGTTAACCTACATATTTATAGAATCAGTTTATTAAGTATCGTATTTGTTTTCTTGTTTCTGACTAATGGTTGCCATAGATGATAGAATTAGTTCATGAAGTTATAATTGCATAGAGATTCGAGTTTTTTTGCTAATATTCTACTGTATTACATTATGTAGCAATAGAGCTAAAAAGACACATGTAATAGCCTCTATATAGGGCCTATTATTTACTCTTATTAAAGTGCATATCTAATGCATTATGTTGTGTTCTTTTTGAACTTTAGGTATGCATTTGTTCTGTCTGGTCTGGTCGCATATGTGAAGAATAGATGCAAAATATTGGAAAACCATGATTTATGATTTTATAATCTTTGTTGAAATTTGAATATATATGGAAACTACAGAACCGCTAAATGAGGATCTAGTCAAATAGAATAAAAAGCCCAAGAAAAAAATTCGTCCCGTTGGCCCGAGCGCCGCCTAGCGGTAGCTGTGATATTGCAAAACATGCACAGGTTGGAAGGCCTACATCCCAATCAAGCTCCTGTCATTCAAAGTTGTTTCAAATTTTGATCATCTGAAATGGAGCATGGAGACATAATCTTCCTAGCTTTACAGTCTTCTTTGGCTCCAGTCTTGTCTCCGGGAGAAATTTCTTGACCAAGTTTCGCAAGCTGCCACATGAATTCGAACTCCGCGGAGCTAAGTGTAACATGAAACCGCCTCCGCTTTGCCACATTATAAATTCCATCTCCGCGGAGCTCATTCTGCTAACCCCCGTGTCTCCGTCCACCAGACGTGTCGTGGTGTGGAAGAAAGTATCGAGGGTTTCTCGTCGTCTTTCTACGAGCCTTTTTCGGTTCAGATCGTCGGGATTTCATCCTACATACAACTCAGGTACGTACCAAGAGCTGTCTACTCTACAGTTATCGATGTGACAGGAGAATAACACGTACAAGTTTGTTTTACGCTCTCTGAGTCTGTCACTAGCTAGCCGCTAGCGACGTGTGTGCCGCTTGTGAGAAGTTCTACACAGCTCGAAAAGCAACGGTTTCTTGTATGAAAACAAGTTTCTGTCACAAACAGCAAAGTTTATATAGAGCAGCACACACACGCAAACTTACTTTGGTTTTGTTGTGTCCTTGTAGGTGGAAAATGGCGTAGATCGTTTCCAAATTTGTCTGGGAAAACGTTGTTGACACCTCGGCGAAGGTCTAGAAGGGGTTATGCGGTCTCCTTTTTATTATTGGAAATCAAACACGACAACAAGAGTGCTTGCTTATTTTATAAATATAATACAAACATCTTTCTATAATCCACAGTTGATTTTGCAGACAAAGTGTTACTTTTGGGTTAAAATTTGGGAGTTTTTTTGAGATAGAATATTCTGGAAACCCCCAAATGTTCCTCGTGACGGTCTTCCCACCCAGACATCTGGTTTCTATCATGGAGGAAAGGTCTGGAGTCAGGGGAGGTTCATTAACTCTCGTACATGACGCGTTATTGATTGAAGGGGAATCAGGGATGATACATTAAGTATTTAGAAGGAAGCGTTATTAACTAATGGGATCTTTGAAGTAAATGCAGGCTTTCTGATGACAGTTTTTGTTTTCCTTTTCGCCAGGATTCCATAGTCCAGTAGTGCTGAAACTGTGAAAGGGAAACAGGATTCCATAGTCCAGTAGTGCTGAAAGGGAAACAGGATTCCATAGTCCAGTAGTGCTGCCTGCCCTGCTGAAAGGGAAAACAGTGAGGCTTCGCCTGGCTTAATCCAGACATCAGTACTCTTCGTAAAATATATTTTGCAGGTAAGGACATATTATTAACTTCTCCAAGAAAAATGTTGCATATTTTGTTGCATTTGTATGTATGTGGTTTAGCAGCTTTAATTTGGGTGGATTGTCTTGAAATCTTGTCCCACTGATAAAATGATTATGTTTTTAGCAATCTGGCAGATTTCCTATGAACTGCAGTAGAACTTCTGGTGTTTTTATGTTGTATTGGGGAAAAGTGTCATTAATTTCGACCCTACAAAACAGGCCAATTTAAGTTTTTTTAAATAGAGCAGCACACGCACGAAAACTTTGGTTTTGTTTTGTTGTGCCCTTGTAGGTGTAAAATGGCGTAGATCGTTTCCAAATTTGAGAAAAAGTTGTTGACACCTCGGCGAAGGTCTAGAAGGGGTTATGCGGTCTCCTTGAATATTGGAAATCAAACACGATAACAAGAGTGCTTGCTTATTGTACAAATATAATACAAACGGCTCTCTATAAACCACAGTTGATTTTGCAGACAAAGGGTGATTTTGGGGTTGAAATTTGGAAGTTCTTTTGAGGTAGAATATTCTGTAAACCCCCAAATGTGCCTCGCAATGGTCTTCCCGCCCAGACATCTGGTTTCTATCATGGAGTAAAGGTCTGGAGTGAGGGGAGGTTCATTAACTCTCGTACATGTTGTGTTATTGATTGAGGGGGAGTTAGGGGTGATACATTAACTATTTAGAAGGAAGCTTTGTCGAAAGAGGGAATATTTGAAGGAAATGCAGGCTTTCTGATGACAGTTTTTGTTTTCCTTTTCACCAGGATTCCATAGTCCAGTAGTGCTGAAAGGGAAACAGGATTCCATAGTCCAGTAGTGCTGAAAGGAAAAACAGAATTCCATAGTCCTGTAGTGCTGCCTGCCCAGCTGAAAGGGAAAACAGGGAGGCTTCATCTGTGTTGTTCCAGACATCAGTACACTTGTGCAGCAGTTCAGGACTTGACTGTGTAAAATATATATTGCAGGTAAGAACATATCATTAACATGTCAAGGAAAGTTATTTAGGTGCATTTGTTCGTATGTGGTATAGCAGCATATCTGAGACCTGAAATTTGTCATGAAATTTGGTATAATCTGATTCTTGTCCCAATGAAGAAATTATATTTTAGCAGTCTTTAGCAGATTTCCTAGGTACTAGAATCTATGGTGTTTCTATGTTCTGGACAAGCAATGATGATAATTTTTGCAGAAGTGATAGCTCTTCTCTTTGGAAAAATTGACCCGACATGCCAATAAGTAAAGGTTCAAACATACAGCGTCAAAATTATCACAGCAAGCACCAAAATTCCAAAGAATTTCTTGGTTTTGGTTCTTTCAGATTGAGTAATTATATGATCAGCATGATACATGTCCTGAGCAGATAGAAAATGTGTTGAAATTAAATGTTGACCATCTTCATGCTCCAGGACTACAGAGGTGAATTCAGCTTTTGTTACCATGGCAACAAACAGCAGTGGCTCTGATGGCATCAAAAGAGGACCGGATGGGAGATCTGCAACAAAAATGTACAGGTGTGAGGAGTGCAGCAGGCGGTTCAGTAAGCTGGGTAATCTCAAGGCACACATGCGGACTCACACAGGGGAGAAACCGTACAGGTGTGAGGAGTGCAGCAAGCAGTTCAGTAACCTGGGTAATCTCAAGACACACATGCGGACTCACACAGGGGAGAAACCCTACAAGTGTGAGGAGTGCAGCAGGCAGTTCAGAGAGCTTGGTCATCTGAAGAAACACATGTGGACTCACACAGAGGAGAAACCCTACAGGTGTGAGGAGTGCAGCAGGCAGTTCAGTCAGCTGTGTAACCTCAAGAAACACATGCGGACTCACACTGGTGAGAAGCCTTACAAGTGTGAAGAATGCAGCAGGCAGTTCAGTGAGCTGGGTAGTCTTAAGAAACACATGCAGACTCACACAGGTGAGAAACCCTACAGGTGTGAGGAATGCAGCAGGCAGTTCAGTCAGCTGTGTAATCTCAAGGCACACATGCGGACTCACACAGGTGAGAAACCTTACAAGTGTGAAGAATGCAGCAGGCAGTTCAGTGAATCGAGTAGTCTAAACTCTCACATGCAGACTCACACAGGAGAGAAACCCTACAAGTGTGAGGAATGCAGCAGGCAGTTCAGTCAGCTGGGTACCCTGAAGAGACACATGCGGACTCACACAGGGGAGAAACCCTACAGTTGTGAGAAGTGTGGCAAGCTGTTCAGTTGGCCAGGTAGTCTGAAGAGACACATGCGGACTCACTTGTAAGAAAACCCTACAGGTGTGACTGAGGAGTACTAAACCTCACAGTAAGGATTGAGTTGTGGACCTTGTCCTATGAAATATCCAGTTTTCAAAGTCTGACAGGGAAGAAACTCCAACAGTGTGAGGAGTACAGTAAATTGTTTAGTCACCTGGGTCATACATTGCAAGCAACACATGTAAACTCTCAAGTGGGTGATTTTAGAATACCTCAACTTGTGTGCAGGCCATAATGACCTAAAGAAGGTGGGTCATTTACGCATGTGAAACCATACAGGAAAAAAAAGAAGAAATACTTGGATTGAGGACATTCATGTTGTACAAGACACCTTGGTGGCAAGTTTTTTTTTTTACAATCCTGTTAACTCTCTTTAATGTGAAAGTGAGGAATCAGACTGGTAAACAAAACCTATGACTTACAACAAACAAGGTTTCAGTACCCCTTGTAAAGTCTACAGCATAGCATAGGGGATGTAAAACATTGTAATTTGTATATCAAGCTAACTAACCCGTAACCTAAGTTTATTTCTTTAAAGTTCTTTTGTTATAGATAGAGGAAGAGAGTTTTGGTTTTATAGATATTAGCATGTTATGGTTTATTCTGTTAAACTAGATATTTAATTTATTTATAAATTCTTTTAGTAAAGTATTTGTTTTCTTGTTTCTGACAGTCAGACTAATTGGTACCATAGATGATAGAATTAACTGTAGTTCATGTAATTGTAGCTAGATAAATACTAGTGTTGTTGCTGATATTCTAAACTACTGCATAACATTTTGTAGCTATAGTTAGAGAAGCTAATATTCACTCTAATAAGTACATAGATCTATATACGAAGTAAGTGCCTGTTGTCAGTTTTGGTTACTGGTATGTTACCACCAAGCATTGGTTCAAGTTGTTTTCATTTGTTGGAAATAAATTTTCATTTTGAATTTTTGGTATGCATGTGTTCATAACTCTGGTCTGGTTGCAGAATATTGAAACGCCATGATTCATAATCTTTGTTAAAACGTGAATATATGAATATACATAAAATACAGAACCGCTAAATGAGAACTTAAGAATCAGGGTCTAGTCAAATAGAATGAAAGCTAAACTTTCCGCACCTGCCTAGCGGTAGCTGTGATAACTGCTCCAATATTGCAGAGTTGAAGGTTGACACCCCTTGGACTTATCAAGCTCCTGTCATTCAAAGTTGTTTCAAATTTTGATAACGGAGCATGGAGACATAATCTTCCTAGCTTTAGAGTCCTCTTTGGCTCCAGTCTTGTCGAAAGAAATCTCTTGACCAAGTTTCGCAAGCTGCCACATGAATTCCAACTCCGCGGAGGAAAGTGTAACAAGAAACCGCCTCCGCTCTACCTCATTGTGAATCCCATCTCCGCGGAGCTCATTCCGCTAACCCCCGTGTCTCCGTCCACCAGACGTGTCGCGGTGCGGAAGAAAGTATCGAGGGTTTCTCGTCGTCTTTCTACGAGCCTTTTTCGGTTCAGATCGTCGGGGTTCTATCCTACATACAACTCAGGTACGTGCAAAGAGCTTGTCTACTCTACAGTTATCGATGTGACGGGAGAATAACGCGTACAACTACAAGTTTGTTTTACGCTCTCTGAGTCTGAGTCTGTAACTAGCCACCCGCTAGCGACGTGTGTGCCGCTTGCGAGAAGTTCTATACAGCTCGAAAAGCAACGGTTTCTTGTATGAAAACAAGTTTCTGTCAGCAGCAACCTTACAGTGTATTTAGAGCAGCACACGTACACAAATGTTTGTTGTTGTCTACAGAGTGTTCTAGGTGTAACAATTTATGTGTGAGAAAATGTTGTTGACACCTCAGCGAAGGTCTAGAAGGGGTTATGTGGACTCCTTAAAAATTAGAAATAAAACACAATAACAGAAGTGCTTGCATATAGTACAGATGACAAAAATGCCGGTCTTGGATTCCACTGTTAATTTTGTCGACTAAGGGTAATTTTGGGGTTGAAGTTTGGAAGTTCTTTTGAGATAGAATATTGTGTAAACCCCCAAATGTGCCTCGTAATGGTCTTCCCGCCCAGACATCTGGTTTCTGTCATGGAGGAAAGGTCTGGAGTCAGGGGAGGTTCATTAACTCTCGTACATGTTGCGTTATTGATTGAGGGGTAGTTAGGGATGATACATTAACTATTTAGAAGGAAGCTTTGTCGACTGAGGGGATATTTGAGGGTAATGCATGCTTCTGATCATACCTTTTTGTTTTCCACAGGATTCCAAAGTCCAGTAGTGCTGAAAGGAAAAAAACAGGATTCCATAGTCCAGTAGTGCTGAAAGGGAAAACAGGATTCCATAGTCCAGTAGTGCTGAAGGGAAAACAGGATTCCATAGTCCAGTACTGCTGAAAGGGGAAACAGGATTCCATAGTCCGGTACTGCTGAAAGGGAAAACAGGATTCCATAGTCCAGTAGTGCTGCCTGCCCTGCTGAAAGGGAAAACAGCGAGACTTCGTCTGTGTTGTTCCAGACATCAGTACTCAGGTGAAGCATTTCAGGACTTGACTGTGTAAAATATATTTTGCAGGTTAGAACATATTATCATTAACTTTTCCAAGACTAAAAATGTGTTTCTATGTTCATGTATGTGGTTTAGCAGCATATCTCAAGAGGCATTGGATGTATTGTCATGAAATTTGGTATAATCTTGTCCCAATTACCATTGATTTTTTAAAGCAATTGGCAGATTCCCTATGTATTCCAGTAGAACAGGTCAATTTAAATTTTGCATGTAAGATCATGGTTTAAACATAGAAACAGTGTTAAAACTAGTTCAGTTTCAGTTTATTTATTTAACCAGAAGATACACTCAGGTCATTTGACCTGTTTTTCAGGTAGATCTGGGTACAATAAAAATGCAGAAACAATACAATGATAACAACACAGTACATAGCACATAATAGCCATACAGCAGTACAAATACAATATAATTACAATGAGTTTTTAAAGGCCGTTACAGTTCGGAGCTTTCTCTGTTCTATTGTGAGCTGGTTCCACAGCACTGGACCCTGGTACTGCAGGCTCCCTTTGTATGCGTTAATGTTTGCCGGTGGAACGACCAGCATGTGAGGGTCCCAATTTGCTAACTGGTTTACAGCTATCCGCGTCCGTCTGTTCAAACTATCACAGCAAGCACCAACTTTCCAAGTAAGCCTTGCTTTACGGTATCCAAATTTAAGGACTGTTTGGTAGTTTCTGCATCTTTGGTGTTTGTATGGTCAGCATGATGTCCTGAGTAGACAGAAACTTTTGGAATCAAAATGTGAATGTTGTTCATCTTCACACTCCAGGACTACAGAGGTGAGTTCAGCTTTTGTTACCATGGCAACAAACAGCGGTGACTTTGATGGCATCAAAGGAGGATCGGATGGGAGGTCTGCCACAAAAATGTACAGATGTGAGGAGTGCAGCAAGCAGTTCATTCGGCTGGGTCATCTGGAGAATCACATGCGGACTCACACTGGGGAGAAACCTTACAAGTGTGAGGAGTGCAGCAGACAGTTCAGTGAGCTGGCCAATGTGAAGAGACACATGCGGACTCACACAGGTGAGAAACCCTACAAGTGTGAGGAGTGCAGCAGGCAGTTTAGAGAGATCGGTCATCTCAGGACTCACATGCGGACTCACACAGGTGAGAAACCCTACAGGTGTGAGGAGTGCAGCAGGCAGTTCAGTGTCTTGTGTAGTCTTAAGAAACACATGCGGACTCACACAGGTGAGAAACCCTACAAGTGTGAGGAGTGCAGCAGGCAGTTTAGAGAGATCTGTCATCTCAGGACTCACATGCGGACTCACACAGGTGAGAAACCCTACAGGTGTGAGGAGTGCAGCAGGCAGTTCAGTGTCTTGTGTAGTCTTAAGAAACACATGCGGACTCACACAGGAGAGAAACCCTACAAGTGTGAGGAGTGCGGAAGGCAGTTCAGTCAGTTGTTTAATCTCAAGGCACACATGCGAACTCACACTGGGGAGAAATCCTACAAGTGTGAGGAGTGCAGCAGGCAGTTCAGTCAGCTGGGTGATCTGAAGAAACACATGCGGACTCACACAGGGGAGAAACCCTACAGGTGTGAGGAGTGTGGCAGGCAGTTCAGTCAGCTGAGTCATGTGAAGTCTCACATGAAGACTCACACAGGTGAGAATCCCTACAAGTGCGAGGAATGTAGCAAGCAGTTCACTAGGCTAGATAGTCTGAAGAGACACATGCAGACTCACTTGTAAGAAACCCTACAGGTGTGACAGAGGAGTACAAAACCGCACAGTTTTGAGGACTGAGTTGTGAGCCTGGTCCTATGATATATTCAGCTTGCAAAGGCTGACAGGGAAGAAACTCCAACAGATGAGTTCAGCAAACTGTTAAGTCCCCTGGATCATTGCAACAGACACATGCAAACTCAAGGTGGGAGATTTTGGAATAACTCAACTTGTGTGCAGACCTAGAGAAGGCTGATCTTGTGAAAAACCATACAGGAAAAAAATAAAAGAAGTACTAGGATTGCCGATCGAGGACATAATTTAGAAATTTCCTGTTGTACATATACAAGACACCATGGCTAAGACACCTTTGTGACTAAGAGTAAGAGCAAGTTTTTATTTCAACCCTGTTAACTCTCTTTATTGAGAGAGTGAGGCATCAAACTGGTAAAGGAAAAGCCATGTATTAGCTCTTCATGATGTACTACAAACAATGACTTTACAACTTTGTGTTAAGTTTGCTTTAGTGTCTTTAATGGAACTGTTCCTTATATATATAGGACTGCATGTGGTACATCTGGTTTGTAGCATTCCATAGCATAGCATAGCAATATTACTGATACAGGGGAGATAAAATACTGTACATCAACCTAACTAACCTAAGTTACTAGTAATTTTTTTTTGTTTTAATTTTTTTTGTATAGCGGAAGAGAGATTTGTTTTTATAGGATTACCATTCACTATTATTAGTATGTTGTTGTTTATACTGTTATCCTAGATATTTAGGGTCAGATTATTTGATATAGTATTTGTTTTCTTGTTTTTATAGATGGATTACCATCCCATCCAATATTAGCATGTTATTGTTTATTCTGTTAACCTAGATATTTATAGAATCAGTCTTTAGTATCGTATTTCTTTTCTTGTTTCTGACTATAATGGTTTCCATAGATGACAGAATTAGTGGATGCAGTTGTAAGTGCATGGAAAGAAGTTTGTTGCTGATATTCTACTGTATTACATTATGTAGCAATAGAGCTAACAGACACATGTAATAGCCTCTATATAGGGCCTAATATTTAGTATTATTAAAGTACATGTATAGTGCATTATGTTGTGTGTTTAACATGCGTTTGTTACAATAAATGTTTTTGAAGTTAAGATCTGCGTTTGTTTATAAGTCTGGTCTGGTTGCAGATGTGAATAATAGATGCAAAATGTTGAAACACTGTGATCCATAAATTCACAATCTTTGTTGAAACGTAATCCATAAATTCATAATCTTTCTTGAAACGTGAATATGTGTATATAAATATATATATATATAGAGAGAGAGAGAGAAAGAGAGAGTCTAGCCAAAGAAAATAAAGGCCCCGAAAAAAGATTCGCCCCGTTGGCCCAAGCGCCGCCTAGTGGTATCTGTAAGAATTGCCACTATATATCGCAAGGCTTGTGCAGAGTTGAAGGTTGACATCCCTTGGACTTATTAAGTAGCCTGGGTGCCATCCTAGTTGTATGCCGGAGCTCCCATACTGCAACCTAAAAAATATTTCTTAGGGGGAAGTATGGGAGCCCCGGCATACAAATAGGATGGTACCCAGGCTACTTATCAAGTTCCTGTCATTCAAAGTTGACCAAGTTTCGCAAGCTGCCATATGAATTCGAACTCCGCGGAGCAAAGTGTAACAAGAAACCGCCTCTCCGCCGCCTCATTATGAATCCCATCTCCGCGGAGCTCATTCCGCTAACCCCCGTGCCTCCGTCCACCAGACGTGTCGTGGTGTAGAAGAAAGTATCGAGGGTTTCTCGTCGTCTTTCTACGAGCCTTTTTCGGTTCAGATCGTCGGGATTTCATCAAAATACAACTCAGGTACGTACCAAGAGCTTGTCTACTCTACAGTTATCGATGTGACGGGAGAATAACACGTACAAGTTTGTTTTATTACGCTGAGTCTGTCACTAGCTAGCCGCTATCGACGTGTGTGTCGCTTGTGAGAAGTTCTATACTGATCGAAAAGCAACGTTTTCTTGTTTGTAAACAAGTTTCTGTCACAAACAGCAAAGTTTATATAGAGCAGCACACACACGCAAACTTTCTTTTGGTTTTGTTGTGCCCTTGTAGGAGTAAAATGGCGTAGATCGTTTCCAAATTTGTCTGAGAAAAAGTTGTTGACACCTCAGCGAAGGTCTAGAAGGGGTTATGCGGTCTCCTTAAATATTGGCAATCAAACACGACAGCAAAAGTGCTTGCTTATTGTACAAATATAATACAAACGGCTTTCTATAATCCACAGTTGATTTTGCATACAAAGGGAAACGTTTGGGATAAAATTCGGAAGTTCTTTCGAGATGGAATGTTTTGTAAACCCCCCAAATGTGCCTCGTAACGGTCTTCCCACCCAGACATCTGGTTTGTATCATAGAGAAAAGGGTCAGGAGTCAGGGGAGGTTCATTAACTCTTGTACATGTTGCGGTATTGATTGAGGGGGAGTTAGGGGTGATACGTTAACTATTTAGAAGGAAGCTTTGTCCACTGAGGGGATAAATGCAGGCTTTCTGATCACATCTTTTTGTTTTCCGTTTTCCACAGGATTCCATAGTCCAGTAGTGCTGAAAGGGAAACAGGATTCCATAGTCCAGTAGTGCTGAAAGGGAAAACAGGATTCCATAGTCCAGTAGTGCTGAAAGGGAAAACAGGATTCCATAGTCCAGTACTAGTGCTGAAAGGGAAAACAGGATTCCATAGTCCAGTAGTGCTGAAGGGAAAGCAGGATTCCATAGTCCAGTAGTGCTGAAAGGGAAAACAGGATTCCTTAGTCCAGTAGTGCTGAAAGGGAAAACAGTGAGGCTTCATCTGTGACTGTGTTCTTCCAGACATCAGTACTCTGGTGTAGCAATTCAAGACTTGACTGTGTAAACTCGGATTTTTTGTTACCATGGCAACAAACAGCTGTGGCTCTGATGGCATCAAAAGAGGATCAGATGGGAGATCTGCCAGAAAAACGTACAGATGTGAGGAGTGCAGCAGGCGGTTCAGTGATCTGCATAATCTGAAGATTCACATGCGAACTCATACAGGTGAGAAACCCTACAGGTGTGAGGAGTGCAGTAGGCAGTTCAGTCAGCTGGGTAGTCTGAAGATTCACATGCGGACTCACACAGGTGAGAAACCCTACAGGTGTGAGGAGTGCAGCAGGCAGTTCAGTTACTTGGGTCATCTTAAGAAACACATGCGGACTCACACAGGGGAGAAACCCTACAGGTGTGAGGAGTGCAGAAGGCAGTTCAGTCTGCTGTGTAATCTGAAGGCACACATGCGGACTCACACAGGAGAGAAACCCTACAAGTGTAAAGAGTGTGACAGGCAGTTCAGTCAGCTGAGTCATCTGAAGACGCACATGCGGACTCACACAGGTGAAAAACCCTACGAGTGTGAGGAGTGCAGCAGCCAGTTTAGTAGGCTGGGTAGCCTGAAGAAACATATGCAGACTCACACAGGTGAGAAACCCTACAGGTGTGAGGAGTGCAGCAAGCAGTTCAGTGAGCTGAGTAATCTGAAGAAACACATGCGGACTCACACAGGTGAGAAACCCTACAGGTGTGAGGGATGCAGCAGGCAGTTTAGTAGGCTGGGTAGCCTGAAGAAACATATGCAGACTCACACAGGTGAGAAACCCTACAGGTGTGAGGAGTGCAGCAAGCAGTTCAGTGAGCTGAGTAATCTGAAGAAACATATGCGGACTCACACAGGGGAGAAGCCATACAGGTGTGAGGAATGCAGCAGACAGTTTGGTCGGCTGGGTAGTCTGAAGAAACACATGCGGACTCACTTGTGAGAAATCATTGTAACTGAGGACTACAAAACCGCACAGTTGAGAGAACTGTGAGTGAGCCTGGTCCTTCGAAATATCCAGTTTGCAAAGTCTGACAGGGAAGAAACTCTAACAGTGTCAGGAGTTCAGCAAACTGTTTAGTCACCTGGGTCATACATTGTTAGCGACACATGCAAACTCTAATAATGACATAAAGAAGGTGGGTCATGTGAAACCATACAGGAAAAAAAGAAATACTTGGATTGAGGACATTCATGTTGTACAAGACATCTTTGTGACTAAGAGCAAGTTTTTTTTACAATCCTGTTAACTCTCTTTAATGTGAAAGTGAGGAATCAGACTGGTAAAGAAACCCTATGATGTAGTACAAACAAGGTTTCAGCACCCCTTGTTAAGTCTGCAGCATAGCATAGGGGATGTAAAACATTGTATATCAAGCTAACTAACCCATAACCTAAGTTTATATCTTTGAAGTTCTTTTGTTATAGAGGAAGAGAGTTTGGTTTTATAGATATTAGCATGTTATGGTTTATTCTGTTAAACTAGATATTTGATTTATTTATAGATTCTTTTAGTTGGTATGGTTTCTTGTTTCTAATTGTTGCCATAGATGATAGAATTACCTGTAGTTCATGTAATTGTAGGTAGATAAAAGACTAGTGTTGTTGCTGATATTCTAAACTACTGTATAACATTTTGTAGCTATAGTTAGAGAAGCTAATATTTACTCAAATAAGTACATAGATCTATATGCGAAGTGAGTGCCTGTTGTCAGTTTTTGTTATTGGTATGTTACCATGCATTGGTTCGTTTTTATTTGTTGGAAATAAAGTTTCGCTTTGAATTATAGGGTGTCCCTGACAATATACATGTATACACATATAGGTTGAAAACCCTGTCAATCAAGCTGGTATATCTTTGGCAGTCGTTGGAACAGAAGGCATGTTCCATTTGGGGTCACAGGCGGTCAGTTGTATACAGGGGGTTTGACACGCAATATTTACACACAGGTAAATTCTTATAGACCTCTACCTCTCTCTCTTGCTCTCTCTCAGAATAAGTGACTCCACTACAGCTAGGGTCGCTTTTTGTTTAGATCACAACTGCTTCTTACGTTTACCGAAGGAAAACATATTGCTTTAGCTCCATTTCTTCTTCTGTTCCAAACACTAACCTCTGATCTGGCCTCGTCTGTTGACGTCTGTCACCATAGTAACTGGTGTTGGGTTGCATAATGTTGCAATTTCATAGTAGACATTTAGACTCCTGTCACCATATACATGTATGTGAATGTGATCGAATTAACAAGAATTAACAGCAGACCATGTCCGAAGGTAAACATTATGCATTTGCTTTGCAAATGTTACTTTTCTAGTTTACCTTTCACTTCTTTACCTCAATATAGGATCTTGAACGCTTTACCTCAATATAGGATCTTGAACGACACTGTAGCCCTTGTAAACTTTCACGTCAAACTTCTTTAATACCATGACACATGTAGAGATTATAAATAGCATTCCTCTTAAAACATTCAGTTTATCCTCATCATTCTTAAAAATTTTACATGTACAGGGAAACAATGTTGCTGAACGCACTAGTTTAGCAAGTCAATTTTACATCTGTAGTTTATCTGTGTATTACTTGTTAATCAAAGCATTAACTACACTTACATTAGATATTATACACAATAAGACAATATATATGTAGAAGACACATTCATGTATGTCAGTCAATAAATTACTTGGCCCCTCTTTTAACAAATCGTTTCAATATTAGACTAGAACACTCATAAATATTTAAAAGGCTGTCTCATCAAAAACAAAACCGAATTTGGCTTCTCTCCCCATAGTCTGATCTTATGCTCTTCTGTGGTATGAATTGGTCAAAACCATATCTCCAAGCAGACGTTGAGTGGAAGAATTTAACACTTTCTGACTGGTAGGCTTTTCTGGCAGTTAGAATTGCTTGTCATCTACCCCATGCCTTTTTTTCTGGAACAGCTCAATAATATATGTGTAAATATTGCAATTAAGATTATCAATAAAACTGTAGAGTCAACTTGAAACTGTAGAGTAAAGTCTGCAGCTGATTTTCTTACTAAATACATGTACACATTTTACAAGTATTGTGTTCATATGTCTTTCCATTTTTCAGCATAATCAAGCTTGTACTAAATGTAGAATATTTCGTAACAGGTGGAATATCACTCATGTATACAAAAAGGAGTACAAACTACCACAAACATCTTCACAACAAAGTTATTTAAAAACACAAGAAGGTAGAGAGATGTTACTTTCGACTATCACATTGCACAGATTCTACACATCTTAGATCACAATTTACTTCTAGGCTTTTTCTGACAAGAGATACTGACTACAAGTCCTTCCAATCTGTGTTCTCAGCAATGCACAAGGGGAATGAACAAATATAAATAAATACCAGTATATAAATGATAACTGTAGAGAAGACCTCTGCTGTTTATCGTAAGCACAGCTTTTACACATGTATATAACTCTCTCTTTCACTGAGATGTACCCTCAAAGGGTCTCTTTCTTTCGGTTTCACTTCGAGATGGTTTCAGCACAGTATTTTATCACACGTCGGTGAAGGTTGCACATCCTGGTAATAAGATACGCCAAAAAACAGTTACTCAAGCAACTGGATTCGATTCTGGAAACGGTCAGACGTTTCACAGTAGCATCCACTACCTTTTCGTCAGTGACACTGGTTGTCAGAAGGTTTATAAGCATGAACTATTGATTGATATGCTTATAAACCTGCCTTTCTGACAAGTCTCCAGTGTCACTGACAAAATGTAGTGGATGCTACCTGAAACATCTGACCATTTCCAAATCATATCCAGTTGCTTGACTAACTGTTTTTGGCGTATTTTACCACATGACTATGATCACACTCATCTGCAGAGCCTGTTCCGTCCCTCCCCTCAGAGTACTATGCAGGACTTCTTCTCCTTGAAGGGGTTTTCAGAGGCTGGGACACCGACGAGAAGCGGGTCGTCGCGAGCGTGCTGCTCGCAGTATGCCTGCAGGTCGGCGGCGGCCTTGGAGACCCGGATGCGCTCGATCTGTGCCTCGAAGCGGAGCTGGTCCACCGTCTTGTGGGCCTGCGCGATGCTGTTCGACATCTTGGAATCTGAAACATGCGTATGCATTATTTTCTCTAACTTTTGCATTGACATTTTCAAAAATGTATTCAACAACAAAAAAATAGCATACACATGAAATGTGTAACCACAAAAGTGAAACATAAAATCAGGAAAGAATGGTTTATGGTCACAAGCAAAAAGATGAAAGTACTGAGAAAACCCTGGTCATAAAATAACGGAGAACAAAAAAGGACAACATAAAATTCCTCACTTCCCCATATGTTTTCGAAAGGATGAGAAAGTTTACTGGTAACTCTTTTTGAGAATATTTGAATATAGAAGCATTCATATGCAAATGACTGTTTGTGTGTTTGAAGAGCCAGTCCTAAACTTCAGCACAGAAATTTCTGACAGTTCTGAAGTAGGTGGATTGTGTTTATGCATTATTGATAAGTAATGTCTACAGACATGTTTACCCGCAAATTGCCATAATATTCATGTCCCAGAAAATCAGATAACAGCAGCACACCATGACTTCCAGGGTTCCAAAAACATGACGACAGTAAGGGGTCTGACAATGTGACATCCTCCCCAGAAGAAATATCTATGAATTCATAACCCCCTGTGACAAAATTGTTGAGGGACAAAGTTGGTGACATTTTGTTTTCCTAGCTATTACAGTTTATTCTAAAACCAAATTTTTAAAAGATGCTGACAGAGTACATCCTGGAAAAGAAAAACAAAAAACCTTCGTTGGTTGAAAGACAGGGGCCTAAAACACAGCACAGGGGGTAGGGGTCCAAATCACAGCTAGCTACATGTAGAACATTGTTTTCCCAGGGAATTTTGGGGCAAGCACAGTGACAACTGACTGTACAGTATGAGGGACGTCACTGCCACGGCACTTTACACTAGAACTACTCAACTTTTTGACCCCCAAGGCGGTGGGATATCTTGGAACTCTGGGTTGGTATAGCATCGCATTGCTGAGGGAAGACACTGCTGCATTTAAGTTAATTAAGTGGGCAAAAACTCGTAGACAATCAAAATACCCTGTACTTTCTATTACACTGTCATTTCAATCATAATGGGAGGGGCCAAAACATACTGGAGAAATTATAACTCCCATAAACCCAGAACCCATAAAAGAAGAGATCTGCACATTCATTATACGAAATGTACTCAAAAAGTAAAAAAAAAAAAACAATATTTAAAGACAATTCAAACACTACTACTGGATAAATTATGGAGATTGTAAGAGTCTTTGTCATATTCAAAAAAAATTCATTTTGTTTTTTTCCAGTTCCTAATTATTACATGTTGTAAGTATTCACTAGCTCTGTCAGTTCATTTTAGTGACGATGAAGAAGGGTGACGGATGTCACTCTTAACATCCGGAAATAATCTCTGTAACTTATTCAGTAGTAGAGTTTGATTAATCTTTGAGTACTCTGTTGCATGTTGCCCTTGATATAAGAATTAAGATATGTATCAATAAGCAAGGTCGTACGTCTGTACTTGGCTGCTGTGGAGCTGAGGGCACAAACGCTGCAGTCTCCCTGTAGATCTGCCTGGCAATCAGCTGTGGGAAATACTGTAATTCACTTTATGTTCACGGAGGCAAAATTTCACGGTCTGAGAAAAATGGACATGTTCACGTAACTATATGTTCACGGTGGTGACAAGTGCAGGAAAAAGAAAGTCCAGGAATTATTTGTTAACTGTAATGATAAGTTCACTGTACACAAGAGACAGTGAAAACAGTGAACTTATCAGTACAGTGAACAAATCAAGAATTACAGTAGATAATAATTGCTTTATTGAGAGAAAATATACCAGTACATTGCAGCCAACTAATATTAGGCTGGTAATCAGCTGCAGGGAAAAAATAAATCAAACAAAACATGAAATCGGAAGTGTTTTGGATATCTGTGAATGTATTGGAAGAGAACTGTATGTTTACTTGATTGAATCACAAACAATATATGTCATAGACTGGATTATTCTTATTATAGGGCATACCATAGCTACCAAAGCATGCCTGAATTACTACACAATTACAATTGTAGGTTTTTAGATCTTTGCTGTATTTCATTTTAAGCTAAGTACTGGTAGTATTAGGAAAACACACAGCACTGCCACGCGACAATTTACCGCAGCGTATTGTGACCTAGTCTGATTTGATTACACCCGCATCTGCCCTGAAGCTAATTAAATCTCCGGCTATACAGGCAAATATTCGCCTCCCCTCAACACAGTCACAAATTATGACAGAACAGGTGGCCATGATCCATAAAATCCATGTTACAGATATGAAAAATGGTAAGACTAGAGGATCAGGGCTCTCCCCAAGCAATGAAGCAAGGGTGCTCCGCCTCTTCCCAAAATCCGTCAAATTTATGTTTTTAAATTTTCATAAAAATTTGCTGATTTTTCATCGGTTAGGGAGCACCTCTCCACTAAGAATTTCTGGGGAGACCTTTGCGAGGATGGATGTCTGAAATGTGTGAGGTACAGGTTAAAGGTAGATCACATAACACCAGCATATGGCATGAATACACAATTAATGTGTTTTGATGTTGTATCAGTATCTGTATTGGTATAGCCTTTATAACCTCTCTTCAACACACACACACAAATTAAGAAAGAACAGGTGGCCATGATCCACAAAATCCAGGTACATATATGAAAAATTGTAAGTCTAGAGGATCAGGGCTCTCCCCAAGCAATGAAGCAAGGGTGCTTCCCCTCTCCTCAAAATCCTTCAAATAATTCTTCATAAGGGTTTCTTCATAAAAATTCGCTGATTATTCATCAGTTAGGGAGCACCTTTCCCCTAAGAATTTCTACGGAAACCTCTGAGTCAGACTGAGGATGGATATCTGAAATATGTAAGGTACAGGTTATAAAAGTAGCACCAGCATAAGGCATGAATACACAACTAATGTGTTTTGATGTTGTATCTGTATCTGCATCCGTATAGCCAGTATAACTTCTCTTCAACACACACACACAAATTAACAGGTGGCCACGATTCATCCATAAGATCCATGTTACAGACATGAAAAAATGGTAACACTGGAGGCTGAAATGTGTTAGACACAGGTTAAACTTAAAGGTGGATCACATAACACCAGCATAAGGCACGAACACACAACTAAATAGTGTTTTGAGTCGTCGACGTTGTATCTGTATCAATAACCTCTCTTCAACACACACACAAATCAAGAACAGGTGACCACGATTCATCCATAAAATCCATGTTACAGACATGAAAAATGGTTGAAATGTGTTAGGTGCAGGTACTAGTAGATCATATAACACCAGCATAAGGCATGAACACATAACTAATGTGTTCTGACGTTGTGTTACCATGGTGAAAATGGCAGAGGGTGATTAGCGGATTGATGCCAGAAGTGTACATGTAACATGGTACACCTGCTACAAGGCAGAGGCACTTCACAATAACAGACCGTTGGCTAAAAATTAACACGAACCATAATATTTGCACACAATGTTTAAGTGAAAGGGCCTCTTCGGTTTAAAATCTTACAAAATGGATTTCCCTTAAGAATTGCTTAAAGTCAAATATGTTCAATTCAATGCAGGCCTCACAATACAAAAAAACAATACCACAAAATGACCCCTCCCCAAATTTTCCATCAAATCTTGGGCAATGATTTGGTACAAGTTCTTCATAACATAACAGATCCATTTTCAATTCATTATTATTAAACCACAGTTAAGCTTACAATACAATGTCCATTCTCACTGTTTTATATGATATGGTAAAAGGGAAACGAATACTCAATTTTGCATTCAAAAACTACACCTTGGGCATTTAATGAGCAATGATTTGGTACAAGTTCTTGTTAAAGATTTGAATAAAATAACAGATTAATTCTTGATTGATGAACAACATTCAAGCTTACAATGTCCATTCTCACTACTTTAAATGATATTGTAAAAGGGAAATGAATATCCAATTTTGTGTTCGAAAACTGAAAAATTGTACATGTCAACATCAGAGCAGCATCACCTGACAGTCCTGATGAAACAAACTATCTACACGACAAACGTGCATGGAATTCTGTACCTTCACAATGATGCATCGTCTCCTTACTTATCATGCATGAAATCCTCCTCAGTTCCACCCTCTAAATGGTTCCATGGGGGGACCCCAATTTCAGTCTCTACTCCTCTGAAATGGTCTGCATTTTTCTCCTAGTTTGGGCCGCGCAGCGCTAATGTTATAAATGTTAACGCTATTCCTTCAGGACTCGACTGGGGCTATTTGTCTGGCTGCATGTGCGTAATGCGTCGACGTCACGACATTCCATTTTGATGTGGGCTCGTCTCTCAGTCTATACACTCCCTGGGGGCTTTAGGGAGAGTCCATTTTGCTAGCAAAATTGGGGGGTGGCAGGGTGGTAGGTAAAAAACACTGCAAGGTTATAAGAGGGCTTGCATGGGGGTGGGGGGTAGCGATTATGAATTATGCAAAACTTTTGCCGCCGATTACGAATTACACTAAATTTTCAGAGCTGATTACAACTTTACGCTTTGCGGCTAATGTACTGATTAAGAATTACATTGATTATGAAGACTATAAGGGACTTACGCTTTACGAAAAGGGGCATGCACTTCAGCAAAGTAGGTAATTAAAAAAAAACAGATGTAAAGAACTAAATGCAAAATCACAGAATTATGAATAGATAACTGAGCAAACGCTGTCCAAGATTTATCAATTTTATGGCACCAAATGATGTTGTAAATATGTGACAGTCGCATGTTCATAATTGACTTAAAACGTGAATAATAGGAATTTAATAGGATGACTACAAAATACTCCAAAATGATGGGAATTCTGTGCGAATATAAAAAAATTATACTGCATTCAACTATGAAGGAATTGTAAAGACAAATTATATTTCTATGATTATTGATGAACCAAAAAATGAACCGGATCTAAAAATATAACGGGACACGAACACCTGACACATAAAAATCAAGTCCTTTTATTCTGTGATTACAGATGGTCTTACGCACCCACAGAAGAAGTAGAGGCTCAAAAGTATCTAAGTAACAAGTCTTTTCGCTCATGTTTTTTTATGTGCAAAATATGACCTGAAGATTAGGTTATACCGTCAGATTTTATACCGCAGGGCATTCTGTTAATTTATTGAGAAAAAAATACCGGCATCTCGCCATTTTTTCCTCGCTACAAAAACACAAATACGAGCAAATTTATCAGGTTTATAAGCGAGTACAGGGTACGTATTGTATGCTTGTTCTATCCCCTATGTCATCTGTGCCCTAGGACGATGTTTGGATGAGATTTTGAGGTAAATCACGACGTTAAATGTTCACCTACCTGTCTTCTGTCTAGTGCTCTAGTGTACTCCACCCTTGGTCGTACCACCGGAAATGCGGGGTATTGTGGGATCGACGAGGACCTACATGCGGTTTTTGTGGTATCCGATGTGGTATAAAAACATTAGTAGAATCACGGTATATCTGTTATATATGTCCTTCGTAAAAAAAATTATTATAGAAAGGAAAAAATGATTTTAGGGTGTTATTTATCAGGTATTTTACTTGTATAGAAAATAGACCAATTTTATACTGTAACACAATTCATATTCAAGCAGATGTAGAAAGGGAAATAATATTTCTGGTTGTCCCATTTTTCTGACACACAAGTGCTATGTAATATCTTCTGTAAGCGACCTTATCATCCTTTCATAGCAGTACAATTATGACACATTTCACAGGGATATATACCAAACTGTTTTTATTTCAGCATGTGAGACCAGTGACCTGTATTTCATCATCATCTTCAGTACTGCTTAGCCTTCTAAAAAGAAGATTACTAGCAGCTGCGCTTTAGTACTGTGTGCAAAGTGCAAACAAAGGGTACGGTAGGGATGGACGTGGACAAGTGCAAGGACAGGACAAGTGGAATCAGTGGTGCTAGTGTTACACGTATTTACATATGTACAAGGACCGGGAGGCAGCTCAATGCAGCGAAGCCCGTCCCAGCTCTGCTTTGAACTGGGAGATGGACTTCGCCTCCGCCACACTGGGCTCAAGTTCATTCCACTCCTTGATGGTGCGAGGGAAGAACGAGAGCCTGTAATAGTTGTTCTTACTCGCGATGGTCTGCAGCTTTAAAGCGTGATTAGTGCGGCGGGAGCATCGAGCTGCCGGGACGAGGCACGAGGTGTGGGGGACAGAGATGGTGTTGTGCAGGACTTTGAACATTGTGGTCAGTCTGGCCATTTTGCGGCGGTGTTCAAGTGACTGCCATCTCAGGTTACCTAGCATCTCTGTTACAGAGGCCGTGCGTCTGTAGTTGTTGTATACATACCTGGCAGCTCTACGCTGCACTGCCTCCACTCTACCTACCTGATCGGAAGTATGGGGGTCCCAAACTGGGCAGGCGTACTCCAGAGTGGGTCTTACTAAGGCCATGTAGGCACGTTGTTTGGCCTCCACGCTGGCAATCCGCAGGTTTCGGCGCAGCATACCCAGCGTTCTGTTGGCTTTGGCCGTTACGTTGTCAACATGGGAGTTCCAGGAGAGGTTTGAAGTGATGGTTACGCCCAGATATTTGGCCTTACTTACCTTAGCTAGGGGGGATCCATGAAGGGTGTAGGAGTAGTTGATGGGTTTTTTTGTGGAAGGGACAGACATGACTTCGCATTTGGAGGGATTGAACTTCATGAGCCACATTGTCTCCCATTTACAGATATTATCTACATCATGTTGCAATTTGTCACAGTCTTTTGTCTCCCGTATTGCCATCTGCAGTATACAATCGTCGGCAAATAATCTTACCTTGGCGTGTACCGCGTGGCTTGGGAGGTCATTTATGTATGTCAGAAACAGGATGGGCCCCAGGACTGTACCTTGGGGAACGCCGGAGGTAACAGGTACCGAGTCGGAACTGTCCCCATCAAGCACAACACGCTGCGTCCTACCAGTCAGGAACTGTTGGATCCAGGCCAGAGACTTACCCCTAACGCCATAGTGCTCGAGTTTGTGAATGAGCCGGCGATGGGGGACTTTGTCAAAGGCCTTGGCGAAATCCATCAGAACCAAGTCGGTTTGTATGCCGCAGTTTCTGTTTGCTGCAAGATCATCGACAAGGGAGAGGAGTTGTGTTTCACAGGATCTACCTTGTCTGAAACCATGTTGCATTTCACATAAGATGTCATTGCCATCTAGGTGGCTCATCATGGAACTTGCAATAATGTGTTCCATCAGTTTGCAGCAAATTGATGTTAGTGATATGGGTCTATAATTTTCGACTTGTACCTGTCGCCTTTTTGTATATTGGAGCTATGTTTGCTTCCTTCCATAACTCGGGCACTGTGCCGGAGTCCAGGCTTTTCTGGAAAATGACCTGTAGAATTGGGCTTATTGTGTCACTAAGCTCTTTGAGGACATGTGCAAGTACCTGATCAGGACCAGAGGCCTTATGTGGGTTGAGATTTTTCAGTAGTTTGTTGATTCCGCTCTCCTCTATGATGATGTCTGGCATAGAGGGGTGGGGGCTTGGTCCCATGTCTGGTAAGGGAGCATCTGTGGGCTCACAAGTAAAAACAGATTGAAACTGATGATTGAGGAGATCAGCCTTGGTTTTGTTGTCGGATACTAAAATCCCATTACTCTTAAGGTGTTCCACACCAGATCTCTCATTTTTCATACTTTTAAGGTAGCTCCAGAATTTCTTTGTGCCTTGTTTAGCAGAGAGCTTGCCCTGATCAAAGTCATCAACATCTATGTCGAGTACAACAGTTTCAATATAACTCCAGTAGCAGTCTTTCATTTTCTTGTTGATTTCTTTTTTAAACTGGTTCAGTCTGTCTTTCCTTTCGGGAGTGTGTTGGACTAATGTCTTCCTGTAAAAACGATCTCGTTTTCTCATGAGTCGTTTGAGTTCAGGAGTGATGTATGGTAGGTGTTTTCTATTACTAGTCATTTTCGATGGAACATATTTATCCACACAGTTGGCTAATTTAGATGTGAACATGTTATAGAGATCATCTACATTAACATCACCATTTGCTAGTTCTACGAGTTCCGTTTTAAAATCTGTCATCTCATCCCTGAACTTCTCCCAGTTTGAGCGTTTATATAGGAAGAGTTTACGTGGCTTGGCTCTCTGCTTTTGAGGGCGCAGGTCTGCTTCTACGAACACCAGGTCGTGATCACCTATTGGTGACAGATCACAATGCTTTGCTCAAACCAAGGACACAATACCTTCATCGCCCAACCCATGCAGATACACAAAACAAGCACACGACATACACTGTAGTTTGAGTGCTAGTAAAGGAAATGGAAATACAAGTATGAGGAAGTATTTTTGGTATTATATTGCTATTCTTTTGGCCAAGGTATAAGCGCCTATAAACCCCACTGTTACAAAGGTACCATTGTAATCATATTGAAAGCATGTAGCCTAAAATAGGTTTGCTAACCAGGCTAAAAAGCATGTGGAATATCTGTAGACCATAGATTTTAAATCTTTACAAAGTGTACTGGCCATCCCCCTTATAGAGCCTCCCACATATAATTCATATGCCTATTTACAATCCTCTCACCAGTATTTGTTACATTTGTCATGTTTTTCTTCACACATACAGAAAAATAAACCATTTTTTGCATTAATGTCGGTGTCTTCCTTATGTTGCATTATACAACTATTTAATAACAGCTGAGAAAAATAAATCTCACTTAAAATTCAACATAGCTGAATTTTGGGGAAAATTACAAATGTTGTTGCCTTCGTGGTAATACACTGTTTAGGCCAATTTCTGTGTGAAAAATAACATTCTCAGAAAATCTGTCATTTCTATTAGATGATGACTGTTTTTCCATACAATCAGATAATTTGAGTTTCAAATGTATCACTTTCAGAACAAGTTTCAGTGTTCCCCACTACCCTTTCACACCCTCACACAAATCAGGGTAGACTCAATCAATGATTTCCCCATGTTAATCCACCCGCTCATTTGCATATATAATTTGGTATCGCAAATGCAGGCACATGCAAATATTAAAATTTCATTCAATTTTCAATAAATTATTCACAAATAAAAACAGAAATACACATTACTGACAACAAAAATAGCCAAAAAAAGAATCTCATTTTGCAACTGCTAAACCAAGAAATTGTTTGCTATTCCAATGATAAATTATCATTTATATACAATGTGATTTGTTGATGAACATCTCTCACAATTTCTGTAGGGCTTGTACAAAGTAGTTTTAATGGCAAAACTACCTAGCAAAATGGCCAACATCTAGAAATTAAATCCCTTGCTGATGGCATTGATAATCGATGGCAAAAAAATATAATGATGAGTTTAAGTTTCCCAATGATTCTAACATATATAGGCAGCAGTGCTTGACTCAAAATACTACAAATTCAACACCTAATGATATATTTTTTACCCACATAATGCTTATATGCATATTCACAAAATCTACTGTACACTGTAACAGTTATATCATGTCAAGGCCCAAGCACATTTTCACTGCAATACAATAAGCCTGCACACACGTGTCATATACCTTTTGTCATTTTGAAAATGGTGAATATATCTTCTATCTGTCACTGTACACACCAATAATGTTTTTCTAAAAGTTTCTACATCAAATTTACAATTATTTACAAATCTCCCTTCTGCTTTACTTCCTCACACAAATTTAAACACATTGTGATACTAGTAATCATTTGAAACACACTCCACACATTTTATATACAGTCTACATTTATATATATTCAGGGACATATTACATGTTCGTGGCATGTAACAACATGAAATATTGTTGAGCTGCCAGGTTGAAAAATACATTGATACTTGCAAAGATTTCATTGGTTCGACTAATTACAAGAGTACGATTTTTTTCTCTCGTTCAATCGTTGGGCGCCACATGTCCCACGAGGTAGATGTTGTCATAGAGATGACCTGCGAACTCGGGGTCGGTCTCTGGCGTAGCGTGACGTAGATTCTTGATGAACTCCCGCTTGGACATCTTGTTCTTTACATGCGGACTGCTCAGGTCCACCGACAGGAGTATCAGGGCAAAGCACAGGACCTCGATCACTCCTGCAAAGAAAAGAGAAATCAGAGATTTCATACTTCTGAGAAGTGTTTTGGGGGTCTATGAACCTATTGGAACTGTATTGTATCATTGTGGGAAAATCCCTATTGAATTACATCATAGAATGGATTGATACAAGTAGCTTATTAATAGTATTACTCAATCTCCAACTACTCATTTACAATCCTTGTTGCTTAGGACAAGATACATACAAACTTCCCTTAAGAGAAGTACCACCCAGAAAAAACTTCAATCCCAGAAGTAACAAAACAAATGACACCCCTCCCCACACAAACACACACCATGCACACACACACACACACACACACATACACACACTCACTCATACACACACACTACACCCATGTAAACACACACGCATGCACACAGCACATACCAGGAGACAGCCCATTGTCAGGATTACACTGACAGAACCTCCGTGAAAACTTCTCCACCAATTTCTGCAGGTAGTCTCCCCTCTCCTCGGGTGCACATACACTACACAGTACACACACCCACACAAACACACACACATACACACACACACAAACACACACACACAAACACACACACACAAAGATACACACATGCGCACACACACTAGACACACAAACACACACACACTAGACAAACACACACACACTACACACACAAACACACACACACAAAGACACACACACACACACACATAAACACAGCACATACCAGGTGACAGCCCACAGTCAGGATTACACTGACAGAACCTCTGGGAGAATTTCTCCACCAGCTTCTGCAGGTAGTCTCCCCTCTCCTCAGGTGCATGGATGGTTAGGAAGAACTTTCGGAGGGCGTTGGGGAGGAACTGGTTACGGTAGTTCTGTCGGATGACTAGCTCATCCAGAACATCCGGCCTTTAGGTGGGAAAAGAAAAACCCTTGATGACAAGTTCATGCACTTGGAAATGTTCATGCACTTGGAAATGCACTGATATCTGATTTTGTGCTGAGTACAGCACTTGTCAGCACTGGCTAGCTTTGCATGGCCACAGTTGGGACATACATTATGATAAGAATTATTGCTGTTTTTTGGGGCAGTACATGTGTTGTTTTTGGCTTCCCTGTGTGTGTCTTTGTGCATGTTAGCTGGTGTGTTACGCCGAAAGGTGGTTATACCGGCTATACAGGTACAGAAGCTGGTGTGTTACGCCGAAAGGTGGTTATACCGGCTATACAGATACAGAAGCTGGTGTGTTACGCCGAAAGGCGGTTATACCGGCTATACAGATACAGATGTCTGTCTGTCTGCCTATGTGTCTGTATGAGTGTCTGTTTGTGTGTCTATGTGTCTATCTGTCCATGTGTGTTTCTAATGTCTTGCCACAATGCAATATACCATCTCTAATAAGCCGTTCAGTTCATTGTGTTTTTACACTCAACACAAGCTAGCTCTATTTGAAAGATTGTATAAGCCAGTGAAAAATGCCAATGAACATACCTATTTTCTAGGAAGATTCGGAGGGGTTTCCATCTCAGTGTCTGTGTGCCGTGGATGAAAGCTGCCAGTTCCCTGGGGTGGTTATCCAGCACACCCTGGGCAACCAGGTACTCAATACCCTGGGAGGAAACAGAACCATAATTGTTTTTAGTAGTAAATTCTAGGAACTGGGATATTGTTTCCACATACCTGCACCGGTGCAGGTAACATTGAAAATTACCTACACCAGACAAATTTTAACTGCACCACTCAGAACTTACAAAGTATACTAAAAACTGTTCAAAAATTATTGTCATTATTTCTTTTATTTACACTTCATAGGTGGTGACAGTCAAGATACCTTAACTAACCTGTATATACAGGTGGTACATGTATATCGTCCCTTGATGCCCATGCACACTTCCTACATACTGTGAACTAGCTTCTTGTGTAGATTAGCATTTGACTTACTGCCTCAGGGTCTGCATTGAAGGTGAGAGAACCTTCATCCAAGATGAGGTACAATCTCCTGAAGGAGAAGTTGGCATCTCTCTGTTTTCTGTACACAGTGGCATAGTTCCAGGTGGCTTTGCAAAGTCTGAGGAACAAACAAAACAACCTTATCATCAATATGAACCTTTGCAGTGTTTTTGCTCTCTTCTTCTTTTTCAAACACATATGGTAAGGTCAATGACCTGGAACAGATGGCTGTCACCATGGTAACTGGTGCTGAAGCTGACACCCTGTGGTGTTGGGTTACATTATGTAGCAACTGGCAGAGGACTGGGGCTGGTAATCATGTATATGAAATATATGTTTGAGTAAGAATACACAGAGCGGTAGTTTGTTACGCTAGACCATGTGAAGGTAAACATCATGCATTTGTATTATGAAAGCTTACTTTGCACAAGACACAAACGTAAAGACGCAAGAGTATTGTGACTTTATTCACAGGAGACTGGACGGATACGTGATCAAACATGACTGCATGGGTGCTTTCTTTCTTTTAAGTTTTAAAAACTCACCCCATCCACAGGACGTCATCGTTGGCCATGTTCCACACACAGGAGGCCAAGCACAGGTCTGTGGCATTCAGGTGCTTCAGGACTGCCATGCCCACTTCCGGAGGGAGGGTCTCCAGGTCTGGGAACTTCTGCTGTTCCCGGTGGTGGTGGCGCCCCCTCCGGAGCTTCAGCCTCTCCGCGTGCAGCATGTGTCCCAGAGAATGTCCCATCGCCGGTTGGTCCTGCGTTGTTGTTGTTTGCTACTTGGTTTTACGCAGATGTTTTGCTGCATAAAAACAATAACGAATCATGTTAACTCAATAAAGGGGGGCCTTCACTCAGGGTCCCGACAACGCTTTACACTAAATTTTGAGAACTGGCTACATATTACGCTGAATTTAAAAAACCTCTCAATTACACTTTACGATAAATTCCAAGTAGCTACATTGCATTACATGAATTTAAAACGGCGTCCGCAGATCCTTCGGTGGCCGGCAAAACTCCTCTGGCTATTTGGATACAGTCTTGCCACCGAAAGGGATCTGCTTGGAGATTATCAATTCCTGTCTAATACCTTTCCTGCTCTATGTCAGTGAGAAACTTACAATTAAAAAGAAACAACAATTTATCAACAATTATGAATAGAATGAAACACACACACACACACACACACACACACACACACACACACAAGCTCTAAATATTTCAACGAAGTCTTCAATTTCTTGTTTTTGTATTAAAAAGTCCCCTTTAAAAGAGTAATACGTTTACAATTGCAGTTGTTCAATACATAGCATATTGCAATCATGAGTCTCTACCGAAGTGAGTACAGCTTACCTTGATACATTTGTGTGTGTAATAAAACTATAGTAATTAAAAGTCACACATAACAATGATTTCACAAGTAACCTACGTAACTGGACGACTAGAATGTTGTGACAAAATAAAAAGCAGTAGGACAGCAGACGATCATCAAGTCAGGTGTGAAATTTCCTGTATTGCCGTAGGGCATAAAAAATGAAAACAACAAACTACATACAGAAAAGGTGGGAGGGTCGCGTTTTAGAATTTATGGCAACCCTTGACATTATAAACCTTGCTGACAACTAGCAGACTAACTTCAAAACGTAACAATTCAGATTTACTAATAATCGAACTGTACGGACTATGTCAAAACTATGACACAGTTTAGAACAATTTTTATGATGTGGATATGAAAACAATACGAAAGCTGCAAACGAAGCGAAGGAATGTGTCGATCTTTCTTCACCAAAAACGACAAACTGAAGACTTGACTCACCTCTGTAGTTATGCCATGGGTGTCTGTGATGCCTCTGCTAAGAGGTGGCGACTTTATGTACCTTCTACATAATAATACAGGAGGTAGTAAACAAATAAAGATGATTCATGTCTAAGACACGACCTCGATTCTGACGTGTTTCGGGACAGCTCAGCTCAGGCCGCACCGCAGCCAAACGGAAAGAAGAAAAATGCATTACACAGTTTTACTGAATTTTCGTCACTTTGTCGACGCAACCACAACCAGATTTCTTTATATTTGTGTATTGTCAATCTTCATAAATGGCGATTTGCTTCATATCTGTGTGTCTCTGTTCTTTGTGGTGAAATGACTTGTACTAGGGGATTATTTACGTTAGGTTGCAGACATAGGGAAGTTACACCGTGCGGAAGCGACATCTACTGTTAAGGGACGGTACTGCAGCCAGGCATCGAAAGAAATCAAGCAAGTTGGAAAGAAATTGACACAACTACTGTGGTTCAAGCCATTGATTACCCTCGATACCAGACACCGGCTTCCTTCGGCCGGGAGAATTTATTTATTGGGCTCAGGGTATAACTGAGGGAAACCTATGGTAAAATTTCCTTGGGGGCATGTTGGCCCTAGAGCCAAGGAGCTAGCCTGTATACTGCCAACAATCTGGCACCCAGGCTATCTTATTGTAACACCAAAGATGTGAATGGCAATGCAAATATTGGGACTGAAAACATATCTGAGTTTTACCCCTGGCCCTGTTTGGCTTACTCTCCAAGCAGAGGTTGTGGGGGAATGATCGTTACCTTATATATCGCCGTTTTTTTTTTGTCGCTACCCCGTCGGTGGCTTCTCTGGCTAATGGATACTGCCTGGCCAATTTGATACTGTCTTTTTGCCACCGAGAAGGATCTGCTTGGAGATTATGTTTGGCTATATTACACTGTTTTGAACCTGCATTGTTAGTCAAGTGAGAGTTACATGTAGTTAGATAGAATTCTGGAATAGTCCAAGGTCCATGGGTAACAGATAAGGAATAAAAATTTTCACAAATACACAAACGGTACAATTTTCTATTGTTCAAATGCTTTTTATTCATAAATATAGCAAAACTACAAAAGTGACATCATACACAAACTGTACACTAAGCTAGCATATGCAAAATAAAACATTTAGTTGAAGAATACATTTGTAACAGCTATCTTTTAGCTGCAACTCTATGTACATTATCTACAAATAGATTACAATGCAAAAAATGCTTTGCAGCTTGGTAGTAAAAAAAACCTAAGTATTACAAAAGATATTCTTAAAAGAATAGTTTAATGTCATAAAGTCTCGAGCTGCAATTCCGTTCAGCTTTGCTAGGCGACAGGATTCCTGGGGACCATCTCAGTTGCAACAAGGGAGTCCTCAGGATCATAAAGATGCTCTGAAACAGAAAAGAAAAAATGATTTCAGGACATCTCTGCAAAACTTAACTCCTTCCAAGTACCAAAGATGTAGAATCTTCTGAAATTCAGTATGGGTACTAAATTTGGTAAAAAAAGGATAAACATGCCCTTTGCAAGAGATATACAATCATGTCTATGTGTGAGGTTTGAACCACTTACACCAGAAAAGACTCCTACTCTTTTTAGTAACTGCAGTATGATCTTTAATGTACTTGATGTGTGGCTGGAGGACTTCAATAACCAAAAATAGGTACTTCTAGCCTGAGTCCAGCAGAGAAGTAAATGTAATGTGCCTTTCCTAAGGGCACAACAGTTGGCCTGCCAGGGATTCGAAACCCAGAAACTTCAGAGTCAAAATCCTAACAACAAGACTACCTTGTTTGTATCCTAATCTATGGTACAAAAACTTAAGCACACACAAATGTATGTACCTGAGGTGTGGTCTACTGTAGGGTTGAGAGCCACGATGAGCCAGCCCAGGATCGCCCCTCCCACTCTCATGGTGTTAATGATCCTCCAGATGTACAGTCTGTTGGCTGCATCCGAGTCCGTCCTGTACACAACCAGGAAAGGCAAGAGGGCAACAAGATTAATTTCAAGAGTAAAATGCCAAATGGTACATTTTTTGGGTCATACACTACATGTAAATGTTACAGTACATGCTTGTCTTATTTTTGCATAGTAGATGCATACTCTTTTGCTTCAGATGGTCTAGCTCAACAAACTACTGCTCTGCTTATTCCTACTTGAACACATTGACCAGCCACTCCAACTATGTCCTGCCACTTGCTACATAATGTCATTCAACACCACAGGGTGTCTACTAATACTATGGAACCAGTTACCATGGTGACTGACGTCTGGTCCAGCTAAGTCATTGACCATACATGTTTTTTTTTTATCTATGCAATGCCAGACTCAGCTTAGCAGCTGTCACAAGGGCGCTGTCCGATATTACTGAGATGGCGGTTAATACTGCTCTTAAATGTTTGTAAGAGAAGAAGAAACAGAGCAAAACAATATGTTCTCCTTCTGTGACGATAAACCTAATCATGTAAGAACAGAATTCTCACCAGAGGTCCTGATTGGTAGTTGCCACGGTGACAGTGCTGACATCAGAAGGCAGGACGGTGGGGGCAGGCTCCACAAACAGACCGATTCTGTCATCTATACTGGCGATGCTCACACTGAAGATGATGGAGATCAGGTACACTAAGGGAAAGTAGAGAAAATTACATGTAACATCAAAATTATTGTCATTAAAAATCAGCTTTAGTACAACTATTGTACAGTGGAACTCGCTTCTACCAAGTACAGTAGGGGCACCCTTACTAGATACATTGTAGCTTTTAACAACATTTACAGTTAGATGTGCCCTGCACAGCTGGTGTGTTATGCCAAAGGGCGGTTATACCAGATACACAGAATACAGATGATCATTAGTTGCCTTCTTCTTTCTTCAATCCCTTTTCCTTTCCTTTTTCTTTCTTGTAACTCAAATTGATCATCATTTCTGTAGTGGCTTCAGATTACAGTTATCATTGTACAGAACAAAATGTATAAGTTCTATGTTATCAGTTATTATTTGATCACTATTTCATTGTCACCCAAACCTACCAAGAATTGAGATGGCTCCAGACTGTGGGGTGAGAAGACTGCGGAAGAATCTGCGGTTGGGACGGGCCACGTCATAGCTGTGGAAACAAAGAGAAAAATGTGTCAGCATTCCTGAAGAAGGCCAGAGATTCATTCTCAACTCTATAGCAATACCTTTCAGACACAGAGATAGTACATTTGATCAGTATAAGGTAGCCTGTACCAGGCTTCAGAAGTGGCTGGAAAGAGTAGAAATTGGCCAAATAGACATGCCAGGGGAGTTGGTCAGCTGAAGAAGCACAAATGTACAGCAAATGTACTCCTTAGGGAACCAACTCCCTTGGCATGCGATCTGTCTATTTGGCCAATTTGTACTCTTTCCAGCCGCTTCTGAAGCCTGGTAGAGGCTAAGTAGTAGGTAGAATGGCAGCTGTGCTATCCTGACATTACTAATTAGGTGGGATAGCTGCTGTCCTAGCTGACCTTACCTGTCAAACACAGAGACAGTACAGATAGCCAGCAGCAGGTAGAACAGCGACTGTGCAGGCTGGGCCAGCCGGCTGTACTGCTGCAGGAAGTTAAGTCTTCTGTCCTGACATTACTATATAGGTAGGATAGCTATTGTCCTGAACACTATCTACGCTGTCCTGACCTTACCTGTCAAACACAGAGACAGTACAGATGGCCAGTAGCAGGTAGAACAGCACATGTGCTGTCCTGAACATTACTCAAAAACATTCTTCGTTTCAGCCTCTCCAAGTCTGTCCTGCCACTTGCTACATAATGTAGTGCAGTGACTGAGACTGTACAAATGGTCAATAGGACATCCAACATTACCTGTCAAACACAGAGACAGTACAGATGGCCAGCAGGAGGTAGAACAGCGACTGTGCAGGCTGGGCCAGCCGACTGTACTGCTGCAGGAAGTTCAGGTCACCCTTCTCCGTCAGCAGGAACACCACGATGCAGTGCCACAGCGAATAGCCGGCCAGCAGCCCGTGGCAGAACAGCGCAAACTTCTTAAACCCGCGATGGGTGGACTGTAAGGAAGGGATTAAAAGAGAATAAGCCTTAGGTCTAGGAAAAAAAATTGTGTTTCCTGTTTCCCGACCGACCCTAGGAAAAACTGCCGATCCTAGCCTTTTTTTTGGTGGACCCCTTCAAGGGACATACATGTATTTGTTTATTTAATTGCCATAGCGAGTAGCCTGCCAGCAGCCCGTGGCAGAACAGCGCAAACTTCTTAAACCCACGATGAGTCGACTTCAGGGGAGAGATTTCATTTCATTTATTTTTCTAGTAGATCACACTGAATATTTACAGTTTTACAGCCAAAATGTTGCATTGAGTGCGGAGTCTATTTAAGAGTTAAGCAATCATTGTCTGATGTAGATAAAGACAGGAGGGCATACTGTATCCAGAATTTTTTAAATCTACATGTAGTTCTATGTCTGAGTGAGTTAGGATCATGCATTATTCTGAATAGTCACACCATATCCAAGAATGAAGGTTTTGCACAGTTCTGGATACAGGTGGACTATCCAGAACCATGCATGGTTGCAGAACTGTATCTGAAACGGCGCTGGATACAACAGGAGTGTTTAGTTACCAGTGCCAGTTCTCCTGTAGTCCTGTCAGCCTTGTCCTGTTCTGCATACTCCTCATCTGTCTCCTGTAACCGTGACAACCGTCTCCGCTGCTCCACCCGGAAACCACCTGTGGATATAATAATTGTTGTTTATTTATTTGTTTATTTCAGGCTCAACAGTCCAGTATACAACTACATAACATGACACAAAAGGCAGGCATTCATTTTTTTTTTTGGCCACAAATCATGTGCAAACCAAATCCGTAACAACAAACTAGAACGGTACCAAGGATCACCTTCACATGGTCTAGCCCAACAAACTACTGCTCTTACCGGTAGCATGAAAGTTTATCTGTGTTGGTATAAGACATTACAAAATAAAGATTAACTTTTCTTCTAACACTGGAATGAATTGGGACTTACCGCTTTGCAAGAGGAGTGAAGGAGGCAGTCTACATTAGAGCTCACAAACCTACCCTGAACAGAGATGGGGGACGTCCCAATTCATTCCAGTGTTGGAAGGAAAGTTAAGTCTTCATTTCATAAACTACTGCTCTGTCTATTCTTACTCCAACACATTCATACATATGGTGACCAGCCTCTCCATGCCACTTGCTACATAATCTATGTAATCCAACACCACAGTATCTAACACTGTATACATACTTTTGGTTTCCACAAAGAGTGGCCCTACAGGTGTGCTGGTCATGGAGGACACCTTGTGGGGTTTCTGCACGTCTGTTGTCTTGTCACCGACAATGATGTCCTCATCTGCCACCATGAAGTCTACAGAAACTGAAAAGATGGTGAAAAAAAAAAAACTGTCAACATTTCCTCTCTTTACAATACGGCTAATTAAAACAACTTGTTGACTTAATATCTGAAAACAAGCAAATGTTCCATCTTGCTAAGTATTATCTGCAGAATATGCAATTGTGACAGAAAATTAAATAAATTTTGCAGCATACACACCCTCCCCATCTGCTTGATAGGCCTCGTCAGCTGAATTCAAGGCAGTTCTGAAATTAAAACAGTAATGTAAGTTTCAAAACTTCAGTGTCACAGTGTTTTATTTTCGCAATGACCTCGCCACCACAAATTCATGACACCACAAATATGCATTTCCAATGTAGTACTACAGACTTGTTTCAACTGCAAGTTCAAAATACCATAAAACCTCACTTTTCCCTCGTTATAGCTAGCTGACGCCGTGCCGTGCCCCTGCAGAGCTGGTATCTTACACTGAGGGGTGTTTATATTGTACCGGCTATACAGATACAGATGCTTCAATACCAAGAAAGTCAAATGCTCATGATATTACAAAATACATACAAATTAAGGAGCAATGCAAGGTGGGCACTTCTCGTACCTGGCATTTTTCTTCTTTTTCTTCTTCCCAGGCTGGGGGCGTGGGGGTCGGGCCTTCTCACCTCCCTCCCCCTCCCCCTCTCCACTACCTTCCCCCTCTGCCTCTGGAACAACATTGACATGTGCATTCAATATCTTGTACTAACAAAAATTTAATGAGGTAACAGTATGGTTAGTTCAACAGTGAAGACTGATACAAAATAAAACCTCAATGTGAAATTTTTTTTGGAAATATTGTTTCTTGGTACAGGCAGCATGAGATGGTATCCCAAACAAAGCAAACAAACAAACAAATAAATAAAAAAGTAGATAAATAAATGTACCAGGTCTGGGTTTGGGTTTCCTGCGCTTCTTGCCAGAATCTGGTATTTCATCGATCCCCTCCTCACTCACTGACCTTCGCACACGTGGAGACTTTGTGACGGCTGAGAAGATGAATATCAGTGTGTCAAATTTGGTAGCTTAAAGTTAAACACAAAATTATCCCAGGTAAGCTCCTCCATAGATACACATGTAATGCACTGGAAGAAAAACTACTAACAAGTAAATCTGTGAAAGAAGAGACATGATTCATGCATGAGTATTAACTTGATGTGAACATGGTTTTTGTGATACAAATATGTTTTGCCAGTATTTTGCCCATGGAAATATGCACATGGCTTGAATAAGATGCATTGCATTTATTAAGATGGCTAATACATGGCTAGTGCTGTGTACTGGTTTGCTGGAACTTGTTAGGGACTTGGTAAAAATGTTAAGGTTCAAGTCCAAAAAAAAACTGAACGTCTGGAAGTAGTTCAGGACTTACAAAAAAATCATGTCACATTCCTCTTTTTGTTCTAAACCGTGGTAGTGCAGTGCTCGCTACAAACTTTTGCGGTAAAGATGCCCCATTTTCCCTTGGGAAAAGTTAACTGAGGAGTCTCTTCCGTAATCTTTAATATGCCCTAGGTTTATTTTTTATTTTATTCACATGGATTTTTGAGCATTGGATAGGAAGCACTTGTTGTGCTTATGTAAATCCGCTGCTCATAAAACATAATACAAATGTAAACATAAAGATGACATAAAGTATAGCATTAACATAAAATGAAAGTGGCTGGCGCACCAATACCTAGCATAACATTATTGAGATTGGTCAAATCTTCCAGAGTGGTGGATATAGTTAAACACAATATCAAAGATACGGCAGTTGGTAGGGTAAGGGAGGCTGGGGCTACCTGTAAGAAGTAAAGTACATAATGTGGCGTCATTTACGTTGAGTGGGTCGGAAGGAAGTATGTTTTCAAGATGAAGGCAAGATATGGATAACAACATTTTGGTCCTTTCAGTATTATAACATTTGCAGTGTAATAAATAGTGTTCTGGTGTCTCATTTGGATGCCCACATTTGCACTCGGGACTACTGATACAGTGATGCTGGAATAGGTGGTAGTTCAGCTGGCTGAAACCAAGCCTGAGTCTGGTAAGGTGAGTCACATGGTGTCCGTGGCCGTGAGAGTAGTGGGGATGTCTGGGCATGCTATCAAAGCAAGACTCTAATTCATTTTTGAATGCACGAATGGATGGGGATTCTTTGGCGGTCTGGGGTAACTTGTTCCAAGAGAAAACAGCAGAAGGCAAGAAAGATTTTTTTGTACTTTTCAGTTCTGATGGTAAGAGGGAGATAATTCTGGTCAGTACGCAGGCCATAAGGGGTGGAATCACGGATAAGTGAGGGAACCAAGTCTTGTAGATATTTGGGAACTAAGCCATTGGCCATTTTATAAAAGTGAACAAGTTTGAACTTTTCGCGTCTGTTGGCAAGTGTTTCCCAACCGACGTCACATAGAATGCGGTGGTGATTCGTCCCTCTCATTGCGCCTGTGCAAGCCCGGGCAGCGGACACCTGGACTGACTCAAGGAGGTCTGAATCCTTCATAAGAACACCACACCAGGCAACATTGGCGTACTCAAGTAAAGGACGTATCATGGCTTTGTACAAGATTTCAAGCGTTTTCCGTGGCACAAAATTTGATATTCTTGTCAACAAGTTAACTCGCTTCATTGCTTTCGTCACCAGAGTTGACACGTGGAATGACCATCATAAATTTGGAGTGAGATGTAAGCCAAGGTGCTGGTGAGAGGGGGTTTCAGTCAGCTGAACACCTCTAAAGTATAGTGGTGGGTGAAGAACCTTTCTTCTTTTGGAGGAAAAAGTCATCAGTTCTGTTTTGCCGGGATTGAATGTTACAAGCCACTGGTCTGACCAGTCTGACACTACACTGAGATCATGATTCAGTCTGTTCGCTGAGACAACGGGATCCATAATTATCTCTAACAGTGCGGTGTCATCAGCAAAAAGACGGGAATCTGTTCGTAGGTTGTCAACAAGGTCATTTATAAAAACAAGAAAGAGCAACGGGCCGAGAAGTGACCCTTGTGGAACACCTGCATCAATTGAGAGCCATTCAGAGCACATCCCGTTTATAACAACTCGCTGTTTACGATCGCTCAGGTAGGATTCAATCCATGATAAGAGAGACCCAGTAACTCCTAGTTGTCGTAACTTAAAGATTAATCCCCCATGCCAAACCTTATCAAAAGCTTTAGATATGTCAAGAAAAACTGCACGGGTTTCGAGGCCTTGGTCAAGTGCTTGATGAATTTTGTGGACTAAATAGGTCAATGAATTAACGGTGGAATCTCCCAAGGCGAACCCGGCATTACGGTCAGTGAGAAGCTTGTTTCTGTGGAAGTATGAGGACAGTTGATTATGGACTATTCTTTCAAAGACCTTTGACACACAACATAGGAGGGATATGGGTCTGTAGTTTTCCTTGATCTGCTTGTCTCCTTTCTTGTGCACGGGCACAACATTCGAACATTTCCAAATTTTTGGAAAATGTCCGTACTGTAGTGAAACGTTAAACAATGATGATAAAGGGGCGGCTAGTGACTGGGCAACATTTTTTAAGAGTCTATTTCCTAGGCCGTCGGGTCCTGTGGCCTTGTTAACATTAAGATCGCACAAAACTTTGTAAACATCAAGGGGGGAGCAGACGATTGAGTCAATAACAGACTCTGTTCTAAGAGTAAACAAGGGTTTAAGTCTGCACTTACAAGTCCGGACCAAAACCTAAACCTCTGGACTTGAATCTCGACGTGAACATGGATTTAGGTACACAGCACTATACATGGCTTATACAAATCAATTTTCCTGCTGCTGCTGAACTTACACTTGATCTGTGCCTTCCTGGCAGTGCGAGGGGAGGGAGTGACTCCACTACTCTCACTGGTTTGTGTGAGGAACGTGGTCATGCCTTAATGTACACAGGAGACAGGGACAGCAAGAAGAGACAGTTAAGTAGGAAAAAGATAGAGAAGATAGAAAGTAAACAGTGTAGAAAGTGTGCAAAGTCACTTGCTATTTTGTGAAAGAGAAAGATGTAAACTGTTACCCTCACTGTTACCAAAAGTTTGTGTATGTTCAGGTTACAAATTTCATGACAAAAGTTGTACTTCTTCTACTTATTTCTAATGTACAGGACAGTCTACTTTGTAAATCATTCACTTCAACATGCTTTAAAGAGTATGTAATCTTCCACAAAATGAACATGCCAAATGAATGTTCTTCCAGAACTGACCCTGGCGAGAAATGTTACGCTTGGATTTTGGCGAGGTTGCTGGGTTTCTGCCATTTTCACCTCTCCTGCCTAAATTGTTGTCAAGAATGGAGCATGGGTACAAAAAGGGGGAGGGGGGGGACAGAAAATCACTGAATAGAAAGGAACTATGTCGTAAGTAAGTTGGAAGGAAAATTAATGAAGATAGAAAAATGAAGATGAAGAAGACTTATTCCAAGAGTTGAGGAACAAACCTAAGGACTTAATGCATGATTTGTGTATAAAAGTACATAATAATGTCTGTACCAACCCTGTCTCAACCATGTCTATCAAGAGATACATGTACATACAAACTCCCCCTAAAACTAGCGTTACCCAAAACAATTGTTTCATACATCAACAGTTACAACTTTCCTCTGACAAAACAATCAAGGACAAAGGAGTGAACTGGAGCTATAATAGGACCAACTCCAGGCTACAAAAGTACATGCAGTGGCAGAATAAGAAGGGAAGGTGCGGAGAAGAGTACCTCTGTGGTGCCTGCGCCTTTGCCGAGGAGAGACCGCCACCTTGTCTTTCCCCTCATCATCATCCAAAGCTTTGTGCAAGCGTGAGGAAGGGTGGAAGAAAAGAAGTGGAAACAGAGGACAAGCAGTACAATTAAACCCACAGTGAGTGAATACTTTATCAACTTCAGTGAAGAGAGATCTAGGCTGGTGCAATAGCTAGTTTACTAAAGATTCAGCTCAGATATCTAAGTATAAAATAATAAATGACTGAGTCAGAAGATTTAAGCAAGCAGCTTAGGAGAAACATGCACATACACCATACGTATAACAACAGTTGACAGCAATGTTTACATTGCTTTCTCCAATCAAGTCTAAGGGATGTTTCTGGGGTTTGACAAAGGATGGGGTCAGTTAGTACACTACATGATCTATACTATTTGTGGGTTAATTAAGTTCTGCAGGCATCTGTGGACAAGTGTTAGTTCTGGGTAACAATGAATGAGGCAGGGGTGTTTTAGCCTTGGTCAGAACAGTACTATACACTACATCTATATATTTTGACAAAGGATGAGGTCAGTACACTACTAGTACATGTATCTATACTGCAGGCATCTGTGGACAATTGTTAGTACATGTAACAGTGACTTGAGGAAGGGAGGTTTAGCCTGGATGCCATTTCTTCTTCTTCTTCTTCTTATTCTACCATGGAAACCATTCTATGCCATTCTATGGTTTCCATGGTGACAGAGAATCCTGAGCTCCTGTTGGACTGATTTTCAAGGTGATAAAGAACCCTGAGCTTCTGTTGGTAGTTCTGAGGATGGGGGCTCTCAGAGATCCGGAGAATCAGCCCCTGAGATTGTATATAACATTGGGCTAGGGAACACTGGTAAGCTATAAACTGGCACCCAGGCTAGCAGTATTGGTAAGTACACATGCATGGTTAGTTCCTTCACCTTTGCTTTGTCTCTTGCTCTTTTCTGACAGGTCAGTGCCAGCACCTGCAAGGAAACTTACAGCCTTAGTTCAGCACAAAGCCTTCGAGGATACCTAAAGGTAAAGTACTAGAGTCCTATAGCGTTTGAGGCCACAGGGACAGTGGCTTCTTAAATGCTCTATTCTAACTTAATGACTCATAATCATTACAACTTACTAAAAGTCATATACATTACTATAACTAAAGATCATGTGTAAAACTGCTAAAGGGAAATTGTTGTGATTACAACTTGCAAGTCTAAATTTCGGTCTCCTTCCTTTGTTCCTGAAAGTGGAAATGTAAATACATGTATTTGACAGACATGCTCTCTCATTGGTCCAACCATTAATTGCCATTCTCTCATTGGTTGAACTGATAACTGTGATTGACAGTCAACATACATGTAGTCTCGAGCTCTGCAATGTAAATACATGTATTTGACAGGCAGCCACTTTCATTGGTCAAACTGTTAACTGCCATTTTCTCATAGCCTGATTACCAAACCTATATATTATAGCTCCCAAGTCCTACAGCCTCTCTCTATTTGCGGATAGGATGTAGGACTCGGGAGCTATAAATAGTATAATAGATTTGGTAACCAGGCTAATTTTCCCACTGGTCAAACTGATAACTCCCATTCTCTCATTGGTTGAACCGATAATTGATTGACAGTTAATCACCTTCCTCCTCCACATTCCTGGACTGTCTCTTCTTCCTCTGCCTGGCCTTCCTCTCTTGTCTGTCCTGCTGAGGCTCCCACACGTTGTCGACGCTCCCGTTCGCCGACGCCCCGTCCTCCACCCCGTCTACTCCACCTCGAGAGGCCAGGGCAGAGGAGGACAGCTGGGAGTCACTGCCGGTTATTCCTAGGGAAAACAATTAAAGAGGTTATAAAACTCTGCAGACATAGTTTTAGACAATTTCTTCTACTAGTTATTGTTCCCATGTCTTTCTTAGCCCTGGGGCGTAAACTTATTTATAAAACAAAATTGGGAAATGGAAAAAATATCTACAAGAAATTGCAGAATCTAGAATTCCAGGAAGTGTTTAGGGTTTTTGCAAATGTGTTGGAATTGCAATGGGGAAATACCCGATTGACATAACTTCCTTGCGTGCCAGAAAACTTTATGCGTGTCGGCATGTGAAAGACAATGTGACCAAGTGCATTTTTCTAACCTGCTGACAATCTTTTCTTTTTCTTGGAGGTGGTTGCCAACAGATCTATGTGAATGAAAAAAGAAAGAATATTAGTAAATATACGTGTACATGTGCAATAGAAAATGAAATGAGAACCAAAAAAATAACATGCAAAAGTAGATTAATTAAATCAAAACATCAACCAGTAAGAAGGGCAATACATGTGTATATTGAAGTAGTTATACCCTTACCTGGTCCTTCAGTGATTGTGCTGTCCGATGCAAGAGAATGAAAAAGAATATTATAAGTCAGTCGCAATTATGATATTTCAATATTCAACATTACATTCAAAGTCCAAGTAATTCATATACACACATGTAATGATTTTTACTAGTGTGATGTCAACGAAAAACCTCTATATTTCTGATCCCTAAAACCATTGGAAACTTACCTCGGTCCGGGGAGAGGAGGAAGGTTTCTTGGAGGGAGTCCCTATAAAGAATGGGATAGAAATCATAAATCTGTATCTGTATAGCCAGTTTAACCTTCCTTCGGCGTAACAGTAACACACCAGCTTCGTAGGCACGGGGCGCGGCGGCAGCTGGCTACCTTACACCGATCGACTTGTTACACCTAACCCTTGAACTTCTAACTCTAGAAATTGTTTAAAGCTATCTAATGACAATGCCCCTGAATGACTCATAATTTATTCAAAACTCCTCCTCCTGTCAAATTTGAACCTTGTCAACATGTGTAGTCAGGATCAGCATAACAACCCGATATGAAACATCAGCACTGAAAACAATCTGTTCAATAACAAAGTAGCTTTGTTAATGTATGATATGACTACGGAATCAAAACATAAATATTTTGGTGGTCCAGTCAACAAAAATCAACAGTTTCACTCCTCATCATATAATTTTTTTCGAGATCACTCTAATTTCATGCGTTTATACAGTAACTGACAGCTTTATAAACAATAAATTTGCAAGTCAAAGCTAGATCTGGTGTTCAGAATGTCGGCCCTAGCGACCTACGTGTAAAACGTGACGTTTGTTTGAGAAATCTTGTCAACAGCCTTGACACAAATTCACCAAATATTTCATCTCACCTGATGGGCGGCCATTTTGAATTTCAATGACATCACGGAAGTTCTCGCGAGATGTGAAATCTGTGGGCTGTAATGTAGGGTTTCAGTATACTGAAAATTTGTTTCAATCATCATTTTGCTGCAATAGATAGGGATATATTTCAGTCGCAAACTTTGAATTCGTATATTAAATAAGAATCAAAAGTATTTTTCACTATATACCAAAAGATAAGCGATCTATATCGTTTAAAGATTAAGAAATGTGATGGTGATAAACTCTTTAGGAACCTCCCACCAGAGACAAGAAGGTGGTTGTGGTTTTAGTTCTCAGGTTGTTGTTGTTGTGGTTCAATTATAAGCAGGAAGGGAGTGTTTTTTTCGGTCAAGATCTCTTCCTTCTGAAGCCCAGGACTACGACGGATCATTCGTGATGACCAGAAGGTCATGTAAGTATTGTAAAGAGATGTCCTTATGGGAAGTTTACTAGAACCACATTCGATGAACTGAAGCACTTTTGTTTGTGTGGGGGAGGGGGGCGCACACTGATCGCGATTTTTTTTCGTAGAAACTTGGCAATCGCCAGCCTTTTCTGATCGGCCAGGTTTTCTGTCTAACGATTACTATGAAAAATTACGTTAGTAACTCTCAGATTGTCGTAAGAAAACTTAACTTTGTTGTGGTGTTTCACTTAACTGATCTGTAAGGAAAAATATAGGGTCTAAACGTTTTAAATTTGATCTTATTTCGATCCATACGGTTTTAAAGTTGTGGCCATAATTTGCGAGATCGATTTGTAGTGGCTGTTGGTCTTAAGTGTACTGTATTATCCATAAACTATTTAAGTCTTGCTTGCTTGCAAGTATGTACTACAGTATGGTTTATACAGCCCCAAGTTTAAACCTTAAATGTTTTAAAGGTCCCATTCATGATTTCTAAGTTATGTAGCATAGCTTTTTCAAAGAGAAAACACCTAGTACTAAATGAACCTGTATCTGTATCTGTATGGCCGGTATAACCCCCTTCGGCGTAACACACCAGCTTCTGTATTTATATAGCCGGTATAACCGCACTTTGGCGTAACACACCAGCTTCGCAGGCACGCGGCACAGCGGCAGCTGGCTACATTATTACACCGAACGACTTGTTACACCTAAACCTTGAACATCGATATAACTTAGTCTAAGTCTAAACATTGTTTAAAGCTATCCAATGATAATGCCTCTACTGAACGAGTAGCTGTAGGTTGCAATTGGCAAAAAAAAAGGGAATGCCATGTACAATTGCAACCAGTGGTGAGAGTTACTTGGATGTTATGATTTAAGAGGTAACGATCGTAACGTTCATGTTTTTGTTTGTTTGTCCACAGAGCGTTTTCACGTGTTCGCAGCGCTCCTCTATGTATCACACTGACAGTGGTGGAGGAGGGGACGTGCCCCAAACCATGGATAACCATATGGTCAGTATTTACCTCCAGAACAGAGGTACATGTATCGTTAGGCGCAGCACTGGTAGCCTCCACCAGTACCAGGTACCGCGGATCGCTGGAAAAATACTACAAATTGGCCAAAATAAAGGGAATAAATTAACTCTCTCAGAGGCTCTGGCCAGCTAACTTCTCTGATATACCATTTCCTTTATTTTGGCCAATTTCTACTATTTTTCCAGCAATCTGTGGTGCCTGGTAGAGGCTACAGCACTGATTCAGAGGGAATTTATATATGTACAATTGTTTTGTTACTCAAGTGGGTAGGCAGAGATTTGGTTTTGGTTGATTGACAGGGTTGTGACCTGGTAGGATGTGGCATAAGGTTGTCAGGAATGTGTACTTTGTAATCATGTTAACCATGATGTAATTCAGGCAATTCACAATTAATAAAAGACAAGACATTCACCAAAATTGTAGGTATTTCATGGAGGTATGAAATCTTAATTTTTTCCAGAATTCCAACAACAGTCAAAATGGGGCTGTACCAAATGCCAGGCCATTTTTTCCTGCAGAAGGACAAGGTAAGAATATGTTTGCATTGCATAGTAGTTGATTACCTGAAACAAGCAAAGAAACAAGTCATCCAGCATTCTGAACTGTTACATTTCCTGACTTATTGAAGTGTTATTTTGTCTCCCTAGCACCTCCCCAGGAAGCTCCAGCCGTATTGAACAACTTCTCCTCTCTCTCAATCTCTCCAAACAAAGGTGGCAAGGTAACAGAACATTATACTGTTGTCTGTGTCATGTATTTTTCTTATGTAGCATCTTTCAAATGTTGGAAGTATTGTTTTGGGTGACACTAGGCGGCACTAAAGAGTTTGTATGTATCTCTTGTCCTGGGCAGCAAAGTGAGTGGGCAGAGATTAGGTTTCAATTGATTGACAGGGTTGTGACCCCTGTTTTAATCCATTTGTTCCAAATTAAGGGAGTGGACGCACATGAGTTAGGGTTAAATCTGTTTTAATCCCTTTGTTCCAGATTAAGGGAGTGGACGCGCATGAGTTCATCCCTGGGAACAGGATGTCAGCGGCGAGCTCAGTGCCATCGATGACAGGACTGGGCGTCAGCATGTCCAGCCCCTCGCTGTCCACCATGCTGTTCACTGCACAGCCTCACACACCTGCTGCTGGTGCAGCAGTGCCCTCTGGTGAGTAACACTGGTACAGCAGTTTGACAGGTTTGGACGTGAGCATGTCCAGCCCCTCGCTGTCCACCATGCTGTTCACTGCACAGCCTCACACGCCTGCTGCTGGAGCAGCAGTGCCCTCCGGTGAGTAACACTGGTACTGCAGTATCTCTTGGCTGTTCACTGCACAGCCTCACACGCTTGCTGCTGGAGCAGCAGTGCCCTCCGGTGAGTAGAACTGGTACTGCAGCATCTCATTCACACATGCCTGCTGCTGGTGTGGCAGTACCTTCTGGTGGGTACAATTGGTACTGCAGTATCTTATCTTCAGTGCCTTCTTGTGAGTACAATTGGTACTGCAGTATCTTATCTTCAGTGCCCTCCGGTGAGTACAATTGGTACTGCAGCAGGTTGTTCGCTGAGTCTGGCAGCTGTGTCTGGCAGTTGTGCAATCAACGTATCCTAAAGCCTTAATCATCAAGTTAAGTACATGTACTTGTAGGCTCTCATCTTGGTTTGAACTATACCAGGAAAAGAAATATGACCATAGATGGTAAGATATTTGTGGTGGCCCTGTTTGCTACGGCCTAATGTTTACTTTCTGAATTTAACCCCAACACAGGTGCTTCCCTGTCTGCGGGTGCGTCACCTCTCGGGTCGCCCCTGAGCTCTCCAGGAGCGAACCGGCGCAAACCTCCGTACTCTGGTAGTTACGACTTCATCCCGGGCCAGACCAGCACACCTGGAGGCTCCATGCAGCAGCAGGCCATGGGACCCGCATCCACCGCACCCGCCATGGTGGGTAGAGCTCAAAAGTTTGTTTTTTTAAGTTCCAGAAGTATTGCTGGTTTAGGGGAGTTTGTATTTTGTTTTGTAAGAAGAAGCCATGGGACCGGCATCCACCGCACCGGCCATGGTAGATATTGCACCAGATTTTTTTTAATCCCAGACGGAAGTGATGCTATCATGAAAGTTCATTTGTGTTGGTAGTTACGTACATGTTTAAAGTTAAAACTTTTGGTCCAACACAAAAAAGAGCTTTCGACCAGTCACTCTGGTCTTCCTCAGTAGACTGACCCAGTGAGGCTTGTCACGTGGCTTCTTTAAAGTTTGACGTCAACACTGGGTCAAAGTATCTGGTAGACAATGTTGGCCCCCGTCGTGGTTCAATGTAGGGTGATGGGCCCTGATGTATATGGCGTCCTTCACCCCTCTCAAGAAATAGTCTTGTTCAGTGTCAAGAGCCATATGCATTAGGGCCCATCACCCTTCGTTGTTTGTTTGTTTATGAGTTGTTTACAGTGTGCTGTTTTGAACCTTTCAGCACGATTTTGGCGGTACGACGTACTTCTACACGGCGGGATCGCAGCACGCGAGACACAGTCCGCTGCCGGCTGCGCTGCTCCCAGGCGGTCACCTGTTCCACCTGCCCCACACGGCGCTGATGAAGCCCAAGGCCAACCAGCCGTCCTTCTTCATGCAGGACGAGCTACGCCTGGTACGTTTGTCTATTTGTTTTTATGTTTACCTTATGTAATTCTATACTTGTGTCCCAGGTTTTTCTCTGGTTCTTCTTCTCCAAGCATATAAAGTTCAATGAACAGGACCAGGCTTCACCACTGGTAACTGGTGCTGTAGCAGACACCCTGTGGTGCTGGGTTACATCTGTTGGAGAGGCTGGTCACCATATACATTGTACTTATTATATGAATGCAAAATGTGTTTGAGTAAGAAAGGCTAGAGTTTGTTAGGCTAGACTGTGTGAAGGTATGCATTTCCTTTAGCTGTCTGTAACCCTGAGCTCTCTGTCCCAGGACACCCTGCGGAGACAGTACCTACTGGCTGCCCAGATTGATCCAGTTCAACACCCAGGTCAGAAACTTACTGATAACTGTAATTCCAGATTTTTTGACTGTACTTTTATGTTCACTGTTTTCACTGTCACTTCTGTACCATGAACGTATGATTACAGTTAACAAGTAATTCCTGGACTTTTTTTCCTGCACCTGTCACCACCGTGAATACATGTATATAGTTCCATGAACATGTCCATTTTTCTCAGACTGTGAACTTTTGCTACCGTAAACATAAAGTGAATTGCAGTAAAATACTTTTTGAAACTCTGATTTCTTGTTGTTGACACTTGAATGTTTTTTCTATACAATCACCTGTTTTAAATACAGATTGAAATTTTTCCATTGACAGGTCACTAAATCAGATGTCATTTAATGTTTTGGGCATCCATATCTGTATACTGTATAGCCGGTATAACCACCCTTCAGCGTAACACACCAGCTTCTGTATCTGTATAGCCAGTGTAACTGCCCTTCGGCGTAACACACCAGCACACCAGCTTCTGTATCTGCATAGCCGGTATAACCACCCTTCGGCGTAACACACCAGCTTCTGTATCTGTATAGCCGGTATAACACGAAACAACCTGTTATACCTAAACTTTGCACATCTAACAGTATACATTGAATTTTCCCATTGTTCTTTAGACATTCCCAGTGAGGTAGATAACTACCACACCCTGTACCCGCTGGAGCCAGTTCTGTGCTACCCCAAACATATAACTAGCTTCACAAGCACATGGGTGGTGGGAACTGGCTATATTACACTGAACAGCCTGTTATGCCTAAACTTTACACATCTAAATGTTGAACTTTTCCCCCTGTTCTTTAGACATTCCCAGTGAGGTAGATAACTACCACACCCTGTACCCGCTGGAGCCGGTACCTCGCGACCCCAAACACAGGTCAAGCACCTTTGGGTTCATCACATCCTGCTACAAGAGCATCAGTGCCAAGGATGCCATGGCCTACTGCCTTACCAGAATACATGGTACAATGCTATTCTCTTAAATACGACTCACTATCAGTATCATGGCCTACTGCCTTACCAGAATACATGGTACGACACTATAAGAGATCAAAAGCCTTTTCTTTAGTTATCTGTACCAGTGCGGATAGCATTGAAAATTACCTGTGACAGTCTCAGAATATAGGAAGTATGGATCATACTAAACTATTCAGAAACCATTGCCATTGTATTTCTTTTGTATTTAATAGTTGCTTGCACCAATTATTGAAATCCACATCCATCTATATGGGCTGGTGCAGGTTAAGACATCAGAACTAGCCCACACACACAGTCCCTATTTTACCTGCATATTCAAATGGTTCTCTTAACTCTAAACGCATGTACTTTTGCTATGGGTTTATTTGGTGGTATGAGGCAAAAGAATGTTTTCGCAGTTATAACAGGGTATTTTCTGTCCCCCAGGTTTCCACATGGTGAACTCGAAGTGCATGCTGTTCACCGACATGTGGAAGAAGATCCAACATTCCAACATCGTGCAGCTGAGGGAGGTCTTCACCACCAAGGCGTTTGGAGAACACTGTGAGTTCACTTCACCTGAGGGCAGTATTGGTATAGTATTGCTGGGACGGAAATATGTATTGTCTTGGGTTAGGGTTAGAGCTTGTATGTATCTTGTCCTCACTTCATCAGATTTCATTTTAGTACTTCTAGGACGGAAGTATTGCTTTGGGTGGTGCTGATTTACGGGATTTCTATGTATCTTGTCCTCTAGTGGGATTGGAAGTGAGTGGGTGGAAATTCGGTTTCAGTTGATTGACAGGGTTGTGGCCCAGCATGCCCTTGGTTGGCCCCATACGAATATGTACTGTTTAATCATGGTATGAAACATACATCTTTGTCTCATACCAGATTATGAGTTTAGTATGATTAGTAATACATTCTATGATGTACTGTAATTCAATCAGGTATTCCCCCATGATCATACAATACAGTCCCATTGCATTCACAAAACCCACAGAACACTTCCAAAAAGTCTGAAATCTCTGATTCCTGTTATTCCAGCCCTGGTGTTTGTCCATGACTACCACCCTGGAGCAGAGACTCTCATGGCCCACCACTTCACATGTACACAGTTTCATTACATTCACAAAAACTCCAAACATTCACAAAAACTCTCTAATCTAATTCCCTGTTCCCCCAGCCCTGGTGTTTGTCCATGACTACCACCCTGGAGCAGAAACTCTCATGGCTCACCACTTCAACAACCCACAACAGAACAAGGACTTCTTTGAGGGGGCGGCCGCTGGCAAAGGTAACAAAACCAAGCCAGGTACGCTCAAACAATCTGTGAAGTTTATTTTGAAAATTTATCTTTGTTGGTAGAAGTCGTTGGAGCAACTTTGACCTGTTTGGCCCAGTATGCCCTGGGTGGTAGGATGTAGTATGGGAGTGCTAGGAATGTGTACAATAACTGTGTAATCATAAACCATGGTGTAATATGGGAATAAGTTTTGTATTGCAACTGTATAAGTAGTAATCCACTCTATGAAGTACATGTAATTCTTTTTCGGTATTTCCCCATGATCATAAAATACAGTTCCAGTACATTCACACAGCTTTCTTTTACACTGTACTAGTAAGACTCTCACCTGCTTATGTTCTGTTGCCTATCCTGAGAGCTTCTTACAGGCATGGAAACAATAAGGTGAGAGACATTACTGAATGTGTAAGAGAAATCTCCAATATCCTGTCATTTCCTGGTTGTCTTAAATCTCTGATTCTTGTCCTCCAGGAATGGTGAACGGCCCCCGTCAGCACGCAGGCCTGCTCCCAGAGAGCCTGATCTGGTGTTACGTGGTGCAGCTCAGCTCAGCGCTCAGGACCATCCACGCTGCCGGCCTCGCCTGTCGTGTCATGGACCCCACCAAGATCCTCATTACTGGGAAGTCAAGGTCAGGAACGAGTGAATTCAAAGTGAACCAGAATGTGTACTGTGTAATTGTGGTATATTCAATGGATATATATATGATGTAATTCAATGGATATTTTCCACATAATCATACAATACAGTCTCAATACACTGAAGAGTTAGTCTTTCACTGACAGGGAAGACAGACTTTATGTTCAGTATTTACAGGTTTATTGACTCTATTCAACAGGCACAATGAACAGTGGATCAAGGCTTAACATAGTCTATAAACTGAACTATATATCTGGATAACTACATAATTTCACATATCTTGTATATCAAGTATGACGGTTTTCTGTGTCGATTGCTGATTCTCTTTGCAGGTTACGTGTGAACTGCGTTGGCATTTTTGATGTGCTGACATTTGACGTCAACCAGAGCAATCCTATGGCTCTCATTCCACAGTTTCAGGTAAAAGAGACTTTTTCAGCTCCTAATTTTGCCTTTAAGGGCACCCAAAGTAATTTCAGGGCAGTAAAACTGAATTTTCAAAAATAAAGGGACTCCTCACTTGGTTATAGGAGCTTTTTCAAACACTTATAGTATGAAATGATCACGAAAAATGTGCTAAGAAATGGCAGTAAATGTCAATATCAGACAGATTTCCTCATCCCGAATTTTTCTTCTTTTGTTGCCCTGAAATTGTATTAAAATTGCATTGTTTTCAAAGACAAAAAGACTAAAATATGTATTTTATCTTCTATTGGATTTTAAGGATCACTTACTGTGAAGAAGTATGTTTTGCACAAATGCTAAGGACAGTATTTAGGCATATAAGAGAATTTTTGTGACTTTTTTTTTCCACTTCAGCAAGAGGACCTGTTGTCCCTGGGCAAAGTGGTGCTGGCTCTGGCCTGCAATTCCGTGGCCGGCATCCAGAGGGAGTTTCTGCAAAAGGCCATGGAGCTGGTCACCCTGAACTACTCCAGCGACCTGAAAAATCTCATACTGTGAGAACTAGCCTTGTTTCTGTTATAAAAGTTAAACTTTGAACAGAAAAAGTACAAGGTGTATTTTTAGTACTGTATATTGTTGTGTAAATCTATATTAAGCATATACCATTTGAACAGCAAACATGAAAAGATCAAAATGTTATTTTAAGTACTTGGCATTGTTATAGTTGCAACAAAATGTGCAATGATAGATCCATAATCATGTTGTAACATGAGGCATTGAACCACTTCTGTATGATTTTTACATCAGGGACAGAAGTATTGTTTTGGGCGGCACTGTTTGTATGTTTGGGTTCCAGAGTTAGAAGAATGCTGAGCTAAGTCATACAAGCATGGGTTTAGATTGGGTTTCAGTTGATTGACAGGGTTGTGCCTTTTGTGTTAGATTGTGGTAAACAGGAATGTGTACTGTGTAATCATGGTGTAATTGATAGCAGAGTAAGTTTTGTCATACAATCATATGAGTAATAATCCATAAGGCATTCCATAATATTAACCCAAACCATATCTGCTTCAAGGGATTTTGAAATCTATGATTTCTTGTTTTTTTTCCCTAAAATGGATGTTTGTTTTCTGTAGCTATCTGCTGACCAATCAGGGGAGGCCGAAGAGTGTGAATGACATTATGCCGATGATCGGCGCTCGGTTCTACACACAGCTGGACGCGGCACACATGCGGTGTGACGTCATCGAGGCTGAACTGGCTAAGGTTGGCCTCTTTAGCATTTCGTTTGTTTTTTCTCTGTTTCCTGTTCCTCTTCCTCTTCTCCAAACCAATAAGGTCAATGACCCAAACTTCAACTTTTTTCATTGATGATTAAATAACAGTGACGTCATTGAGGCAGAACTGGCTTAGGTTTGCCGCTTCAGCATTTTTAAGTGCTCATATTTGTTGAATGTTTATTATGAAAGTGTATGCAAATTACTGGCCGTTACTATATTTAGGTACACCTTGGCATTTGAAATACCATTCCATGTTTTGTATTCACCATTTCTAATAAGATAATTCAGAAGATTGGAGTTTAGCATTCTGTCATTGTGTTTACAGGAGGTAGAGAACGGGCGTCTGTTCCGGCTATTGTGCAAACTGGGCATCATCAATGACAGGCCAGGGTAATTTTATTTTATTTATTCCTTTAAGTCAGGCACCTTGCCCATATACACACATACATCCTTGCATGCAACAACAAGAATGTTGTAGTTGTAGTAGGCAACCTTCCGTCTCGAAAGAAGGAGAATCCATACAACACAAACTATATACAGTACCTATATCCTAACATACAGACAGCTACTGTACCTTTTAGAAACAAGGTTTACGTAGTGCCTCCAGAAGGTACCGTGATTGAATATACATACGAGGTTCTGGGATAATGTAAATATCGGAGCAGAGAAGTTGAGATACAAAATGAATGCGACAGTTTCCTTAGTCTAGCGTCAAAGATGCCTAGCCCTTTACTTGTACATAAATACATGGACATGTATATCCCTTCCTCTTGTGTGTTTGTGTGTTAGGCTGGGTCTTGACTCGGACTGGTCAGAGACAGGAGACAGGTACCTGCTGAAGCTGTTCAGGGATTACCTGTTCCACCAGGTCACCGAGTCAGGCGAGCCGTGGATAGACATGGCCCACGTCGTGCAGTGCTTAAACAAGGTACGTTTGTTTGTTTGTTTGTTTGTTAGTTTGAACAATTCTTTATTCATGAGAAGCTCAAATCAGCCTGCAAGCCGCTTTTCACTGAAGTCATGAGGGAAGAGGCAAGATAGAGTTTACATATGATATAAAGTCCTAATAAATCTACACATATTTTTACATATGCATGGTTCAAAAACATACAAAGGGCAAGAGTGGGAGCTCGTATGTGGTTCATGTCAGTTCTAATACATTCATGGATACCCAAACTCTTCCCGGCGTAAGTCTGTTTTCACATTCAACAAGCTTGTATACGCAATCTCCATCATATACTTTTGCCAGTACATCATTCATAGCCTGGGGTACCCAAAACACTTCTTGGTAGTCTGAAACCTGTGCTTTCTTGTTCCAG